AAGATAAAGTCTGTGTGTTGACCTGAGCCCTGTACAGTACACGTGTCTGACTCACAACACTTCACCGCCAATGCAATTCATCAGAGGTTACTTAAGGTGTGAGTAAAGCCCACTGAATTTTCAGGACAACACAGCCCTGGAGTCCCAGTGGAGCCAATGAAATAGTCAGGGATTAATTAAAGTTGTAATGAGTCTAGCACCAGCAGCCCGCTGCAGAAGATGTAACTTCCTTCGATACCCACTGGGGTAAACTTCACCCATAGGCTAACGCTGCTTTTGTCCTCATGCGGCTAATTAGAAGTTACATATTTATATTTCATATTTGGACTTTCCAGGTTGTCCACAAAACCACACAGAGGCTGCTTTATGCAGGAAGAATAGCTTGGCTGGTGTTTTGTGTTGTTACCTCCATTCATTTTCATGTAAGAATCTGTGATAAATGCAGATGAGAAGACGGTCGAAGTGGATCTGACTACCAGTGAGGACTGGGACGTAAAGACGATAACGAGTACACTGAAGCTTTATCTGAGGTAAGGACCGGTGGAGAGAAAGACGAAAAGCACATAATAGTTAAAAGTTTTAAAATAAGAAGAAGTAATCACATTTCTGGGGATCTTTTTTCTTTAACAATTTCAAGCAAGAAATGTTTACATTAACAGTTTTATCCCGTTTATCTGATTTTACTACACCTGTGTTTTAATCATATTCACTCTGACAAAACAAAACCTATTAGAGAAAATACTATTTAAACAAAATGTAATCTGACTGCTGCAGAGACACTTCATGATCATTTGATTCATCTTCTTAGCCAACAAACCACAAAACACTGTGGTTATGCAAATCCATTTCTGACCTCACACAACTGTAGCTGTTGATCAAAGTTGTTTTTTTTGTCTCGGACCAATATGTCCTTTGATTATGAAACATTTCATCCATTTACAAATCTCCAACAACTTCATGTATAAATGGGAGTTAATTATGTTAAGTGCTTGGGGATGATTACCTTTTTGCAGGTCACATTTCTCACGGTACAGTTTGCCTGTTCCACATTCATCAACTCATTTAAAGGTTGACAGTGACAAATTGTGTGGGTGACTTTCAAAGTTTCATTTAGTGGTTTGGTTGTAAGAAGCTGAAGAAGTTTAATTTAAATGCCAGATTGGTTTTGTTAATGGGTGGAGTTGGCAACACATTGAGCTTGGCTCTTGATTATTAAACTGAATGTGAATTGATATTTTCTGACTTTGGAATGTGTTTCCTAAGAGTTAACAAAAAAAAAAGAGGCTTATGTCCAATATCGTTAAAGTAAGTATTTTCTGTTTTGATTCATCAGAAGTCTAGTTGTGGAGAAGAATTTGAATGTCAAGAAAACTTAAAAGCTTAATATTATATAAAACATGACCAAAATTGGTAGCCTTTAAGCTGGCTGTTTTCCTACCCCCTTCCTTTTTTTTCGTACCCACTTCTCATGACATCAGTGTTAAATCAATAAAGTTTTTTTGACATGCAATATATATTTGCTGGATAACAGAATAAATAGAATTTCATCTATCAACTACACAAATCAGGATGTTAAAAAGCATAAATGTCCCAGTAATGTCGTACGCAGTTTATGCTTCCAAATGTTATCTCTTTTGCATTCGATGTAAAACCATCTTAAGTGTTGCTGTGGCTTGTCTTTTACATTGAGTCCGGCTCGCTTGAATAAAGCTGGGTCAGTCTCAGTTTCCTCTGAGGCTAAGTACCTTTGGCCACTGGCCAGCTGCAGTGTGAAAGTACCTTCAGATGAACTTGGTTATCTCAATGCGTGCACCATCTAATTCCATCCCCTGGCTCAGCCAAATTAATCATTGCTGTGTGCAGACCCTATAAAACAGTGTGCTGGCTATTTCTGTCCCCCCTTGCTCACTTCAACTTTCCATCTCCATCCACCCCACCCACCCTTCCCTCTCTCTCCCTCCCTCTCTCTCTCCCCCTCCCTCCCTCTCTCTCTTTCTGAAGGAGCCTACCTGAGCCATTGATGACCTATGGACTTTACCAAGAGTTTATTAGTCCTGCAAGTAAGTTTGACCACTTCTTACACCACTCCATAACTGACAACTGTCCACAACGAGTAAACTGTTGTGCATGTAAACAAATCTATAGTATCTTGATTTCTAGTACCCCTGGTAGCATACTGAGATATCTTATACAGATTTCTGAAACAATTATATGATGTTAACATGTGTAAAACATAACCAGGATACTTAACAAACTGATCCCTTCCAGGAGGATACAAGTGTTTATGTAAAAGCTCCAATCTAAAGGTTTTTAAAGACAATTTTAGTCGTTATTATAAACCAAATTTGCCATTTTAGTTAAGTTGGCAGGCACCCCATATACAGAAGCTACAATGCTGAACGCTTTGGCCTGTGGTTGTAGAGAACTTTAAATCAGGTGATAAATAATTCAAGTAAGTTCCATGAACTTTCTGTGAAATTAGGTTTCAGAGGTCAAACCTTCTAATTAATGGATTAACAGCTTTTATGCCAAAGGACATATCCATAGTTGTCCCCAAATTCAGACTTTTGAACACTTGAAGAGGCGGTGACGGTTTAAAGACTAACAAATTCTTGTTATAGTTTTGTGAATCCAGTTAAACCAAAAACCTGCCCTTTTCTTGTACAGTACACTTCAGTCAAAAGTAACCTAGACCTGATTTGTTTGATCACACACGGCAGATTTTTTTAATGACAGATTGAATCAGCCAATCATTCTTCATGTGTAGAAATCAGGTTGGATGAAGGTCGGAGCTTACACAAAGCGACCTCTGTCTCGACCGCCAAGTCAGAATACATGCAACTTGACCTCACTCTTGAGCGACATTTGTCACAGTTCTGCGCTGACAGGACTCCCTCAATGAAAATTAACATTAAAGGCAGCTGCAATGGAGGGACAGTGAGGGTGAGGTGTGTGACCTTCGAAGTATTTTGGGTGACAATTCTGTTCAGGCCAAACTTGAGGCGGTTGTATCGCAACGGACCTGTGTTTGACGGCATATTGTGCGGTGTGTGACGTCTTTGTTGTTCTTCTTTTGGACATGCAGGTCAGTTTAGAACAAGTTCACGCAAAAGTTAAAAGGTTAAAAGTCACAAATATGTTGTCATTTCCTGCCCTCCAGGGTCCTGTGGGTGACCTTGAACAGCAAGGAGATTCCCCCCCCCTCCCGCCTACATAACCTCATTTGTGTATGAAATGTTTTCAAAGCGAGCCAACTTGAATCTTATTACAACAAGTGCTATAATTGGATCAGGTTGACATTTTTATCAGGCGCTCGCAATGCCCTCGTAACGATGGGGAAAAAATGGATTAGCAATGAATATTTTTTTTGATGGATGACAGCATCCATAAGAGGCTTTTTCTGTGGTTAAATCCTTGTCGTTCCCATAGTAATGATATTTTGTGTGTCTGTGTGTGTGTGCATCTGTGCGTGGGCGGTCAGATGCCCATGTGTGAGGAAATGTTTAAGAGATGATCTGGGGGGTTTTAACACAACCCTTTTATACGGTAGCGACAGTAACGTAAAGCTATCTCCTCCGCCAGCATAGTCGTCCCTGCTGCCAAATTCTGGGAGGCTTACAAATATATGTCACTATCACACCTCTTCTTCACTTCCCCTAACGGGAATGTATTTCCCTCTTAACCTTATACTTGAGGGTGATAGCCTCATTCATTCACTGTGTCCTTAAAGGTCCATTAAACTTTCATTTTCAACATTGTATCCAAATAGTTTTTTTTTTATATTTTATTGAGGGTTCACAAATCTTTTTTTCATTTTGTGTTTCTGTACCTGAAGTTTTTTTTTATTTTTTTTACCTCTCATGTTAACTGTTTCTGAATTTCTTCATTATACCTTTTACACATGCTGTTTGCTATTTGTTGTACAATATTCAGTCTTAGCTGCATTGGCTCTTTGCCACCTGAGCAGCACATAGACATCCTTGGAGTTTAATGCGAGTGCTCGGCTGCTTCTGCGTTTGAACAGAGGGCGGTAGTCCAGAGTCTCGTATCCAAGCCGTCCACTGCCTGGTCCACAAACTACCGGAGAGGAATCGACAAGTCCTCGGGCTGCTTATGAAGCATCTGGCCAAGTGAGTGTTCATAGTTCCTTGGTCATAGTTCACCCAATCTCCACCCCCCCCCCCCCCCCCCCTCTCTCTCTCTCTCTCTCTCTCAGTTCTCTCTCTTTTTTGTCTGTCTCCTCGTTCTCACTCCACATGCTTTTTCTCTCTCTTCCTCACTCCCACTCTCTTCACTCCCCCTTCCCTGCTGTCACTCCATCTCCTCTCTGTCTACTCACTGACTGCTGGGTAAGAAAATTGATGCTGCGAGCATATTAACATTCCTTTTTCTATTCCTTTTTCTGAGGTCATTTTGGTTTACATTAAAAGCTGTTGAACGAGGATTGTGTAGCCTACCTGTTCAGCATGCCGTCATGCAGCCCACCACTGAAATGAAATGGACCTCTTAAATTAAGCCCTCTCTTGAGATTACTCCGTACACCCCTGGATTGAGAACTATTGTGCATCACTCCATTTGTAAGATTAGATAGGGAGAAAGATTTTAAGAAATAATGTTAGCTATCATGACAAGGTTTTACCTCAGCCAGCTTTTTATAAACTAAATATGAGCAAATTGAAGATAAGTAAATAATCCCTCTTCCCTGAGGCAGTGAAAGTCTGGTGGATCTTATTTCATAGAAACCCGCTGCAGAATCAGGCTCTGGTAAAAAGGCAGCGCTATTGAAATTGAATTTGGATTATCCAGCGTGAAATTCTCCAGACTGGAGAGGCTCGAATATTTTTCTGAAGTTGGCGTGTGTGCATGTCCTGCAGGGGAAGGAAGCAGAGCCAGAATTTCACACTGCTATCTGAAATGGTTTCAGAGATGTTATAAATGTGAGTTGTCACCAATGTTTTTGTCTTCAAAGGCATCCTTTGAAGCTATTTAAACTGTCTCTCTGCAGACACACTGCACATCATCACATTTTCAGTGTGAAATCTCTTCACCTGTCCTTACAACTTTTTCTTCACATCAGGATTTATTCTCCACCCTTTTTTTTTCTCAGTCAACTTTCTGTTATAAAGTTTAAATCACTCAAGGCATATGGTTACCCAACTAATCACTAAAGAAACAACTCCTACTTGAAGGTCAAAATCATTTATTTAGCAGTGGTGGGCTTCCTTACCTGCAATAGAACATCAAACAAACAACAAGGATTTCTTTAAATCAAAAGAAAGACATGATGATTAACCAGAATATAACTTTTTATTTCATTAATATGTTACTGTGAGGTTGTAATCTACTTATTAAATGTAGCCCAAAAGATGCTTCAAGATCTCTTCTGAACTATTTGCCTGGGGAAAACTTATCCTTTACGTCAAGAAGTAGTAAAACTAAAGGTGATATTTGACTTTTTTATGTCATATTCTTGCTTGTGTTTACTTATCTTGTCCTTTAATCACCTGAACCTTTTTCTTTCAAAAATGCAATAAGCTTCAGATAGCTTTGAACTTTATTTCCTTTGGTCTTATTAATTCTTTCAAGTTCAGTGGTTGCCAATTAAATATTTAACGCAACAATAAGATTGTGATTTTTGTTTCTCACCAGTCCAAATCTATTATTTAAAAAAGAATGCATACCAGTGTAGCTGAGTGCGTAGGTTTGCAGTAAAATGTTTATGATTCGGGTTTTTTCTCCTCCTCAGGGTGGCCGCTCACAGTAAACAGAATCTGATGACTGTGGCCAACCTGGGCGTGGTGTTTGGTCCGACATTAATGAGGCCACAGGAGGAGACCGTCGCTGCCATCATGGACCTCAAGTTCCAGAACATCGTGGTAGAGATCCTCATCGAACACAATGAAAAGGTAACAAACAAAGAGTGGAATTCGCAGTGCACACCATTCAGTTTAACTGTACTGTTACAGAATGTAACCTTTGGAACTGAGCACTCCTGCAAAACTGAGAATATCTGCTCACATCTTCCAGTAGAAGTCTTAATGGTAGAGAAAAGGGGTCTTCAAGTGATGTATGTTCGTTTCTTTTTTAACCAAAAGGTCTGTTTGATCAACTCTTATCTGCACTGTTCATGATTCATTCTGTCAGTGTAGTTTGCACATAATTGTGTTTCCATTTGATGTTCAGAACTATGTTTAATAAAAGCAAAGCATCTAGCCTCCACAAGGTCCAATCATAGTATCAGATGATATCTGAATCAGGTGACATCATGAGATCAGTTAGCTGCAAACAGCACTTTTTGTTTACTAACCTGGGTGGTTCATGTAATTACTTGGTACTGAAGGGTAATAAAAGTGCAAGCAAAGCAGAGAGTCTTATGTTTTTATATGCTGGTTGCATGGCACCCAGTACTTTCTTACTGTTGTTTTGAAGTTCTGTATTTTGCTCTAAAGTTTCGATTTGGCACATTCTGTTGGCAGGAGGTGCACACGCTGTACTGTACCTCAATTAGGGATGATATAATGCTCTTCTCTTCTGCAGTTCCTATTTGTTAAAGCTTTTAGGCTTATATATATTCACATAAACATCCTGACCTATCCACATCATAGTCTGCTTCTTCGAGCATATACATGCATCCTAGTAAATAATGAGTACTTTGTGCAGTGTTTGGATATCTGCATATTGGGGTTATGTTTTTCTTTTTAGATAATGTACAGAAATCAAGTGTCTCGATAGTCAGACTTGTACTAACTAAGACCCTTTCGAGAACATGACTTTCCCTCATTTGTTAAAAATGTAAAGAGTGGTGTTAAGCAAAAGTTAAATATGCTCAATTTCTTAGTTTGGCCAACAGGGGGAGCTCCAAGTGCTCATACCAGGGTTAAACACAATGATATTCTCCTCATTTTCACTAGGTTTATAATTCTGCAGATTATCATATACATCTCATGTGATTTGGACGGTGTCTGCCTAAATATGTTTATTTTGGTTATGAGTTGTTTCATAACCTGTAGGTCACGGGATCATGTAATCTCCCCAGAATGTCATTAATCAGTGCCAATCCTCACAGGGGGGGATAATTGTCTGTGTCAAAAAGGAAAAAAGGGTTGAGATTAGTTTTTTAATCTGTTTGGAGCAGAACTGCACTCTGCATAGAATCAGATGAAACCAGGAGCTTTTAGTGATTATTTTTCATTTAACGGAAGATGATGATGAACATCTCCACCCATGCTCACAAATCTAAAATGGGGTGTGACAGAATATAGATGCCTGATGAACACCAACATTATACACAAATGTGCTAAAACACAGCCGCCGCCACCAGCATCAGCAGTGTATACTGTGAGTCTCTGAGACTACCCAGAGGTACCTAACAGCGTCCAGGTGATAAAGGATGTAGTGTTGGAATGCAGCAAGAGCATTTTTGAAAAGTACATCGTGTTAGAGCAGGGGAAAAGTTGAGCAGACAGACAGGCATTAACTTCCCTTGCAGCTTAGTCCCACTCTAGACTGTTGATACCCCCAGATACCAACAGTAGACTCTGTTTTACATTCACCTCCATCTGCAGAAAGAGGCGAGAGGGAGAGAGCCAGGCAGCAGCAAACTCTCAGCCATATCAGATTTCTCACTTTTTCTATCTGCCTCTCTCCTAGAAAACTTTCTCTCTCTCTCTCTCTCTCTCTCTTCCTCTAGTTCTATCTCTCTTTCTCTCTATCTCTCTTTCTCTCTCTCCCTCTCATGCCCCCTCCTCTGTGTCTACCTCTCCCGTCCACACTCTCTCTCACTTTCTCCGCCACTTTTCTCTCTCTCTCTCTCTCTCTCTCTCTCTCTCTCCCTCCTCTCCCTCTCTCTCCTCCCTCCTCTCCTCGTCTGTGATCCTTTCTGAGGCTCTGCTGAGACTTCCTCCTCCTCTGCAGCCCTATTCTCTTTTAACTCTACATCAGAAGTTTATATGTAAACACGGCCTGGTGTAAACAGGCTGAGAAAGTTGGCCAGCCATCCTCCAGTCCAAACCCTGTTTATTTTACTCTCTACTCTTTGGAGAGTGGGTCAGTTTCTCTGAGGAGGAATGTCACCTTAACTTAGACCCCAGATATCTGGACGGGATGTGACTGCGTTACATGTGGAGCTGCTCGTGTTTATTTTGGCACCAACTAAATCTTCTCACATGCAGATTTTAGGGTCCAATCATTGAGCTGCTCAGCTCTCCCTGAGAGCACATGCTGTGGCTGCAAATGGCCTTTTTCATTCATCTACCACCACCATATGAAGCTTTTTAAAACCTGTTCACTAAGTGAAGTCAGCTGAGGACATTCTACTGCTTCTGCTCAACTCTTTTAGAGTTTCTTTACTGTATTTTTGGTTTTGGTAGAGACTGACTCACATTGTGTATTCAGATCTTTGCAGATGCTCCAGAGTCATGCCCTCTTTCACCTGCTGCCCCAATGTTCACCGCCCCCACAAGGCAGTCCAAGAAGCTGAGTCGACAAAATCGGCCCCTGGCTGTCTACAATCCACAAGCCCTTGACATGCAGAATGGTAAGGCAAATGCACATCTGTATACTCTAGCACCTCTGTAACATATGGCTAAAGTTCCTTTGTAATTCAATTTAATTTTTTCAATCACCTCTTTCACTGATTGACACGTCTAAGTCACTCTCCGTCATTTGAATGATATTTAGTAGAGTTTGTCTGTACTTTGTACACCATTTTTACATGGCTTATGTGTCATAATAATAAATAATTCCCAATAAGATGTTCCATTAAATACATCCATCCCTGATCTAGTTCAGTTACAAGTTAGCATTCAGTTATTTATTGCACTTTTGAAATGTTCCCTTATTTCACACTTTTGGCTACTCTAAAGCTAAATCCCCTCGTATTATTTGCATTCAAAAGACAAAACAAACCAAATATCACTCCACGCAAATGTTTACAGTTTCCATGTAAAGGTGAGCGAACTATTTAATGGCAATGAATGAAGGACTGAAATTAATATATTGACTTTTTTTACTATAGCCATTGTATATAGGGCACACTATAACAGCCAGGCTATCTGATGCCTCTATATTAATTTTTTTAATCGCGATAATCGCATGCTATTTTGTAACCTCTGCGGTGTATCCCTGTAGTCGCAGTGATGTAAAAGAACGACACTCCTTGTGTCTTTGAATGGATCATTTCCATGGTTGTATTATAGAAGTGAACACAGCCTATACTGGCCTCTCTCTTAGTGCTTGAAGCAGTTTATCCAGCTAGCCAAACAATCTAACATGCTCAGAGAAGACTCTTAAACCGAAAAAGCGTTGCGTTGTCCTTGAGTTTATTGAGGGCATGAACTGACTGTGAAACTGCAACACAAATCGATACAAAATTATACATTAATACAGGCTCTTGAACTTAGATTGTCTTACAACCGAAATCATTACCACAAAAACTGAGGTAAGTTAAAATGCACAGATGTCATCAAACAACATATGTAAATGAATACAATGAAGAAGTGCAATTAAAACACTTAAATGTATATAAAACCCAAGGAAATCTCGACATTCTCCATACTAAATGATTTCCAGGCAGCAGCTGAAAAAACTAAATCCCCAAAATAAATCTTAAAAAAAGAAAGCTAGCTAATTATTTAACTTGTCTTGTCTTACTTGTTTACATAGGAAAAAATGTAATACTGCTCAGTGAAGTTTTCACTCACTGAAACATAATTGTTAACTCACTACAGTAACCTTTGTAATGCTACCAATGCGAGACAATGATGGAAAATCCTTCAGAATGATTTACCAGTTTAAACCAAATCTGGACAACTAAATGAGTTTAGTTTCTGGGTTAAAGACAGTATTAATGTACTTTTTACTTGCTGTGCTGTACCTAACAAATTGTTAACTGCTGATCTGTAAATTTGTTCACTCACTCATGCGTATGGTTGACTGTTGCCTAGTTACCACTAAGAACCATTGCGGTGTGTAAAGATGACATACTTAACTCAGTTGCCTCCTCTCTCCTCTTTTAAATGCGTAAAATTGAGCTCATTTCCTCTGATACTAAATATAAAACGTATACTGGTCACCTGAACTTGTGACCCTAACTCCTTTTCTGATCTTTGGCCAGCCAAATCTCTTCCCCTCCACAACACAAAAAGAAGTCTAAATCAGCTTACCAGATTGCCTCTCTTAACCTCCCTCACACCAGCTTTTACCCGGGGGGTATTTTAATATCAGGGATGAAAGCAGTAATCCTTTTCTAACCTTTATTTAAGTCCTACATAATGGTTTCAAAGTACATTGTCTCAGTATGCAGTGGGTAAAAGCATATTTAAGGATGATACAGTGGAACAGATACTAAAGTGTGTAAGTATGCAAGTCCTTTTGTGACACTGCATGTGTCAAACTTCCCTGCAGACATGTCGAGCTGAACAGTGTTACAGGTTCAGGTGATAATTCACTGCAGGTTTATCGCTAAGAGTGATACTGTGAAAATGTCAAATAAGTAAATATTTTCTTCAGATTATTAAATGTGCTGAAAGATTGAGTTAAATATTTACTTTTAGAAGCATAATGAAAACTTCATCTAAGTAGGCAGAGGCTTTTTAGTGAATATTTGTGATGACCCAATGATGAAAGGCCCTGCATTTTCTATACTACCAGAGGAGTTATATTTGATCATTGCAAGTTTTATAAGTTGTCTTGTCCATCCACTGACTAAAGAGGGTTACTATTACTGAAAAACAAACAAACTAAAAATCCTTAATTTGACTGAGCTGACTAATGCAACATATGACAATGAGGGCGCGCTCGCTCTAGGCAACCCTTACCGTGCCTAAGCACCCTTCACCCCCAAAGTCCAGTTTGTTTAAGCAGTGTGAGTGCTCCAATCTGAGCTCAAGCACAGTACACTTCCTTGGCCCTGGCACGCTTGTAAGAGGTGTGCTTTGGCATTACAGTTCATGCACGAGCACAAGCACGGATACACAACGTCGGCCTAGTGTGAGTGCGCCCTAAACATCAAGCAAGTAAGGTCAAGAAAATTCAAAAACCAAATTTGCTATTACCACTTATTACTCACTTACCGCCAAAGAGGCATTATTGGCTTTTGTTTTAAATGCGTACCCAAACCTTCCACATAGTCTGTGCGCGCTGCTTTCCATCAACGCCACAGGGTTTGCTTCTTCATACAGAGTGCCCTCTGCCCTACTGGGTTCAGGTTCTGGAGTGTGAGCGGAGCAATATGCAGCTGTACGCATGGGTTCACAAGATCACAGGAGAACTATAAGATCACACAGGAATAAAGAGAAAAACTTGCAAACAACAAGTTGCTTTTTCTATCTGAGGTTGATTTGCTGCTCATTCGGTGCCTGTTGTGACGTAATGTTGATGTGATGGAATATATGATCAGACGTCTGAGTGGCAGAGACGAGCTGGGCTGCTAGCAACCTCCAGAGATGGAGCTGTGGGTGCTGTGGAAACGCTTTCATTGACTAGAGTGGGAGCGAATGGCGCCATAGTGGGCTGCTCTGACAAAACGTGACGTGCACAGACTGTGGAAATTGGGGGTTAGATGTGTTTGCTGAAAAAAAAAAAAAGAGAAATTATTCAAATAAACTTCAATTTAACATTTGCTTCTTTTCTGCTCCCATCTCACAAAAGAATGATTCGTGCTTGACAGTAAAACTGAAATAAAAGAGTTTCCCTTGTGTGTCCTAGATTTCTGTCTATAACTGAAACACTGTTATTATGAACAAAACAAACTTGGTTGTAAGTTTTGCCTGTTTGACTGCGGTTTGATTTTAAAGTCTCCTGTCGATACAGCATCGCCTTATGTATTGATGAATTATTCAGCTGCTTCATCAAGCAAGCTATCATCAGTAAGCAGGAACGAGCTGAAACTTTACAGTCAAATATAATCATTGTGAAGAGTTTGTTAATTTAAAGACACAATGCCTCTGTTTTTTACTCTCATCTTAGTGTCAGCAGTTTCAGACGGTCCCAGCTTAGCCACAGACGAGACTTCAATGGGCAGCAATGAGTCCGTATCATCCCAGTCATCATCCGCCTCGGCCTCAGAGACATCCACAGAAAGGAGTGACCATGCACCCGTTAAATCCGGCCTCAGCTCGGGCAGCAACTCCAGGTGAGTGCTTCTCTATGCTGACATTCCAATAAGTCAATATGTGACCATTCAAAGTCCATTCGAAGTATATAAAGTAAATGACAAGACTAGATTCAAATGAAGAGTGCAGGTCTTTTCTCAAAAATAAGTATACAACATTCATGGGTAAACTGTTCAACCAATCTCTATTGTTCTGTTTTAGCATGTTGTCAATAACTGGTATCTACTATCATCGTTCACCTGATTACAGAATGATTTTCTGTATTGTTTTACTTCATTCACGCTTCATATGACTTGCTAAACATGTCAGATATGTGTGCAGCAGGGAACAAAGTTTGGAACTGAGATGTACTACTGTGACTTCAGACAAGAGCATTTTCACTGCACAAGAAGACTTCCTAGTACAACATCAGATTGTTACCCTTAGTAGAGTTAGTTACAGTTATTTGAGTGTTATTAGTGAGAGGAACCTTTTTGTGAAACCTTTTTATTGTTCGGTAATATTAGTTGTGTGTATTATTGTAGGTGTTTTTTCCATTTTGTTTATTTTACCCTTGTTTGTGACACAATGTTTGTTATAGGGCTATCCATCACCCTCACTTACCCTGACTGAAAAATCCAATACTTGAGTATCAGTTACATTACTGCCAGTAATGTTTCATATTACAGCAGAATAAAATGACGAGTGAATCCTTCCACACTTACACGCAACACTCTCCAGTAAGAGTCTGAAGATATTGGTTCTTAAATCTTGCTTCCTCTTTCCAAGGAGATGATTAGATTTTTAAATGTAGTCTGCCTTTTGTAGAGGAGTTGACTAGTTGGATACATTTTTTACTCCTACATGGCTTTTTAATTGCAGTTTCATTCAACTTTAATGTGTGGTTGGGGCACACGGCATTGTGACTGATAAGAGAGTATTTACCAAGCAGTAACCATGATGTCATAATCATCAACAGATAAGATTTCGGTACATTTTAATGTATAGCTATACATATCAGGGGAGGCTTTACATCTGTGGTGCATTCCATAATGTTAACTTTTTGTGGTTCTCTGTCTGTCTCTTGTTCTAGTAAGGAGATAGAAACAGCTTCAATGTAGTAGTGATGCGTTGCTTCCCTGGCTGTCCTTTTCAGTCCTCACCCTCTCTTCTAAGTCCTTGGTCCTTTTTTTGTTGTTTCCAGCCCATGCCTCGTCTTGAATGCTGATGTGTGAGGGATGAATTATTGGGTTATATTGCAGATGTTAGACACTCTGCTGTGTCATGTCTACAGATTCACCTTGAAATAGACTTTCTCCTCATTCACCGTCCCCTTCTCCCTTCTCTGTCAGCTGAAAAGGGCCGTAAAATCAAAACAAATCCACTTCACTACTTGACAGAGGACACTGTAATTCCTCTCCCACTTTGACCCCTGTGGGTGTGCGCCCACCTGTGTGTGTAGGCATGTTTGTATCAACCATTTTCTCCAAGTTCCAGATTGGACAGACAAGACTCTATATTTCTTATGTAACCACCACCGTTTTTTTCCCCTTTGGGTACTTTTTCTTCTTCCTGCTTTCCCACATATGTGGAATCATGTTGGAGGACGGAAGGAGCAAGCAGGAGGGGGTCATAAATCCAAGCTCTTATTTGTTTGGGAGACAGGTGGCCGAGCGTTGGCTGTGTAAATCGTATTGACATTGGGGAGATATTCATCTTGTTTACCTTTATAGCCGCAGCCGCTGTCCCTTTATGAAGACTTGTGCCATATGTCACAGGGTGTCGCCCTGGCTTTGTTCACTCATAAATCTTAGCATGTGAGATGGTGGAGACCTGTTAGCACAGCACCTTTGGCCTCGGATTCTGCTTCACCCCTCGCCAAAAAAAAGTGCAGTAGGGATGGCAATTGCTGCATTACTTTCAGAAAGGTGCACTGTGGTGAGCCTGAAGTGCACCTGGAAGTGGAAAAACAGCATATTTTAGTTGGTTTCCTGCAGAAAAGCTGCAGCAAAATCTGCCTGGTCATACACAAATGCATCCTGACTCACGCAGTATCAAGCAATAAGTCTTTGTGGGCTGTGGCATGATTTATCATCTCCGTCATTTTAGTTGCCTTGCCTCATTTCTCCTCTTCTCCCAAAATACAGCTTCTCCCCGTGGTTCTGTTGCCCGGAGTCCTTCCCAATGAGGTTACATGTTTTGGCCATTTTCCCCCTCCTCTCCTCTCCCCTGCTCGTCCTCCATCTCTCCATGCCTCTCACTGGCGGACAGCTGTGGCTCATAAAATGGTGGATCAGAGTTTATTTCCTGCCCACCCAAACTTGAGGCGGCTGAGCGGGCGGCTTGGCACTTGGTTTGATCCCACTTTTCTCCCAGAAACACTTAGAAATCTCACGACCGGCCTTCTTTCTTCAGAGGAAAGATAGTTGATAAAGCGCTCATCTGCGCGTTAGCTCTTCTGTAGGATCAACTAGGCCTGGATGCTGCACGGGTAAAATTCCTGCAGTAATGAGAAGCAGCAGTCGACTTCTGTTGATGGATTTCTCCCTGCTACTAACCTGGCAGCGTGAGATAATGTGATTGTGATAGCTCAAATAATAAACCAAAACCTTCTGTTGCAGTTCCCTTTTGATATTCAATTTCTCCTAATATTTGTCTATATAAGTTCCACTTTAAATTACTATTCAGAACAACTTCATGGATAAAACAAACATCTGGAGAGGGATTTTCAGAAACGCTGCATTTTCACGAGTCCCCATTTACTGTATTTAATCATGTTTAGAGGAGAAGCTTAGCTAGGCCTGTGATGGGTAAAAACAACGGGATGAGTAATTCAAAGCTCGATGCTATTTTTGTCCAAGAGAAATGGCAAACGATTTCCCTCGGTTTGGCTTAGCTGTAATTGTGAAAGCAATTTTGGGATGAATCCATTTACCTCTGGTACATTTAGCAAGTTTCTAGGGCAGCCATGTGGCATTTACCGACTCTTCCAGTCAGTTTTTTTAAGCGTCAATTTAGTATGTTTATTTTGAAGATCTACTTTCCTAATAATTCTTGTCAAGCTAAAATAAGACGGTATGAATGCTAACTTTTCTCAAATTTATTTGCATGAACATTTTGTTTTTTTTACTGCTTTGTTCTTTTTTTTTCATTTTAATTTTGGTATCTGGAATGGTTCACCTGCAGTTGGCTGAGGTGTTATGGCTCCTCTGCTCTCCCTTATCTTGGCCGTGACCCAGGCAGACAGTGGTTATGTCTGGGACCAGGTTAATGAGTGGATTTGCTGCACTGCAGTGCACTGTCCCCCCATGCTGATGTGGAGCAGCTGAGCACCACAGTGGACCAACACTGCTGCAGAGCTATAAATCACCAACAGTCAGGCCAGGCCCCGGACGGAACAGCCACCGCTGGGGATGGACAAGCAAACTGAGAGGAAGGCTGGGGAACAAATGGAGGGAGGAAATGATACAGAGTGGGGAATAAAAGCATGGACATGTTACCGTGCGTTCAACTCCATCTACGTACTTCCACATAAGAATCCCCACCATGTTCCCACCTCAAGGCTGCCTTGCACTCTCTCTTCCATCGGTGCCAACGTAACCACTATTCACAACATCCTCTCAACCTCCAGCCCCTCCCCAGCTGCTCCCTCTAATTGCCTTTATTAACGTCTCTATGGGAGCGGCAGCTAGGAGCAATTTGCTCATTATGTACTGTATTAGCACCGGCCCTGGGGCAGGCATGGAACACAGAGGGATGCCTGGCTTAGACTCCTGCTCTCCTCCTCTCCAATCTACCTTTACCAGGACCCCTGCTTCCATCCCGTAGGTCGCCCATACACTCATTGGCCCTGACATCAGCCAGAGTGATACACAGCTACCTCTGTTACTGAAGAAGCCTGTGGTAAAGGAGCTAAGAGTTATGGTTGTCTTTACAGATATAGAAGTCTTATACATTACTTTGGGTATTAAACATACATGCAAGGGGTGACAAATTAAAGAAAAATCAACATAAAGTGGGTCACCCTAAGCCTCCAGAAGAGATTAATTGCACCTTGGCGTCGATTCTACACCAATCTGGAACAAGACCACTATTTAATCAAAAGATATTTGCTCATTTAGTGTTTTGTGTGGGATGACGGGGGTTGGTGCTGTCAAACGTGTTGGACCAAAACACACAAAGGTGACTCAAGACCATAACATATGTTCCGGCGGTGTCATACTCATCAAAGTCTTCAATGACCCCATGCACTGGGTTACTTGAGGTTTAGTTATTCCCTTTATTCATATGTTTTTTTTTTCCCAGTAGTTCTTCACCGTCTTTTCATAGTTAGACACATTGATGATAATAATGAAGATACACATTTTGTCTTTGGTCAGTCAGGATGGTTTTAAATGGTTGAAACTTTAATTGTCTTTACAGTCAAAATTAGATTTGTTGAATTATTGGGAAGATATATATTGTTTGTTTCTCTCTGCACACAGGTTTGGATTACAATTTTACTTTTGGCTCTTCTCTGAACAGAAAAGCAAACAACGGGTCGGCATATGAATATTCCTCAAAAATTCAACCTCTATGTTTCATTCATGACTGTTTGCATCTGTCAGTCTGCATCCTCTACCTATAAATTCTGCACATACAGTCAATCCAGATGAATTTAGACAGAGAATTCATTGCCAGTCTGGCCTGTTTTCTCTAGACAAGTTGACAGGTTAAATGAAGAGAATCTGTTAAAGTTAAATTAAGCACATTAATATGACAACACTAATATTAATACTGTTACTATTTGGCTTCAGTAATTGATCACAAGAACCCTCCAGACTATGATACACAGAGGTGAAATAAATGTTTTTTTTATGACTTTAAAATTCAGACCTTGAGATAAATAAATCAAAGTAGCTCTTGATGCTTACCTCTCAGGTTAATACAGGCTGCTGTTGAAGAGTCAGTCCTTTTCAAGAGGCTTTCTAGCAGATGGAGTGGACGGATTATTTGATTTATGGAGCCTGTTGTCCTTGTTATGGGGATAAAAACTGCAGTCTGCTCACACTGACAATACAAAGTCTTTCCTGTTATTACTGCTTTATGATAGGGTGAAAGATGGGGTTTTTATTCTGTTCACATTTCAAAATGTAACTTACTTTAACAATAGTTCTGTAGTGCTGCATTTCAATATTTTACCAACTCTTAAGACTTACATTGACCAAATTTTGCCATGATTGAGGGTCATTTGACTCATTTGACATTATCTTGGGACATTACATCAGGAGTTATGTATCCTCTCGTGACATGGCTGATTTATTTAAACGGTACATTCCAAATAGAATTGATTCAGTGAGGCAATGACATCTCAAAAGTAGGGGAAAAAAAAAAAAGATGTGCTCTGAAAATGACAATTGATGCCCCATGTAAGTGCATATTCACATATGACAGACCCTACTGCCTCTAATGTTGCTATTTCGTTTTTATTTACTCCTGTACTGCTATCATTTGTTAATGTTTTATTTTGATTTATCATTGTGTCTAATTGTTACTTTTTGCTCTTTATTGTTCAATTGATGGAGGGTTGCACACTCAGTGTAGTTATACCAGACACAATTTCAAATTTATATTACAATAAAGATCACTGTTAAAAGTGAAACAAGGCATTGGATTGGTGAAGATGTATAGTCTTGTGTGGTCTCTAAACAACAAGTTGCCAAGTGTAGCTAACCTGTTGCTATGGCTCCAACCCTGACCGCTTTATTTGATGGGGTTAATTGGTACAAAAAAAGCTATCACTCATCCTGATTTTTATTTTTTGTCTAATAGACTTTGTGTCAGTGGGGGAAAAACACAATGCTAAAGACTTCTGGGTAAATTAACATGTGTCAGTCCAGAGACAGCACCTTGAGGTGTGTGTGTGTGTGTGTGTGTGTGTGTGTGTGTGTGTGTGTGTGTGTGTGTGTGTGTGTGTGTGTGTATCTTCAGGTCACCTGCAGCAGAAGCCTCCTTGTCCTCTGCTGGAGCTCTGGGAGAAAGTCAACCTGCTGCCACCACAGCTGCGTGTGACAAAGAAAAGCTGGAGGAGAGGTAAGAAAGGGTCCCTGTCTTCGGATTCCTTGCCTGTTTTCATTTCACTACTTTCTATCCTTCTGTTTCCTCAAGTCATTTTCACACGCACCTATTTGTTAAATGTCACGCTCTTAGATGCTTTCACTCCTTTGCTGTATTACTCACTTGCTTGTCTTATCTTGCCTGTTAACTCAACAGAATTCCCTCGCTCATTTGACAACTACTCGCAGTCCTTCACAAAACTATTTCCCCCGACTTTCTTCTGGTTTTCACCTTTGAGGGATCTTAATGCAGCAACCTTCTCCCCTTTCTTCAAAGATACACACAGGCGTACCGGATGTCACACTGAGACTAAATGATGATGATTTCAGAGCTTTCAGATGCTAGTGAGGACATTACAAACAGCTTGGTTATTCTATGGGCCCTCCAATTTGAATATACACAGACCTCATTTTTAACCAAATGCAGTTTTTGCTGAAGTGCATTCTTCCAAAATTCTGAATTCAGGAACTCGGAAGATATTGTTGTATTGACAACTCTGTGACCACAAACTTTTTTTCATTCAGTTTGTATATCTTCTTTCTCCTCTCTCATCCTACATTGTTGCTGCTCTGCAGAAAGAATATGAAATATTTATCAGGGCATCGTGTGTTGAAGGCACAACTTCTATATGGTTATGTTTCTGGCATTCGAGATAACGGTTTTGCAATTGTGAGCAAAACAACCTTTCTGTGGAAACAGTTTTTTATGTTTTTTTGGGAAACTCAATGGCATAAATACTTCCTTTTCCTCACCTTTTGCGGAGCGATGAATATGGTTTCTTTGATAGCGCTCTTTTACATCACTGATTTAAAATACAGCTTCTGAGCTCACAAATATGCATTTAGAAGCTGAAGCACGGTGCAGAGGGATTTCTATTCTACCTCTGTTTGTGTGCAAAGCTACTTTAGAATCCCCCCGACACTTTTTAATTATCTCACCATAGATGGTTGTCTGCTGTGCAGGACCTGATGTGTGCCTACCTTTTCGGCTGTACAAAACCTGCTACAAACAGCGCTGCAACTCTTTGTGAGTGCATGCACACGGGTGCATGTGGGTGTGTTTTCACCCGCTCGCTGCTCCGTCTAGACAGAAGATAGTGCAGGACAGGAGTATGTAGTGGCCCCGGCTCGTCTCTTGGTACTTTTTGCTTATTTTTCAGCCTGGCCCATTTCTGCTGTTTCAGGCTAGTGAGTGAGTGAATGAACAAGCAGGCCCCGGGCCCAGATTGAACTGTGCGGTAATCCTCCCAAAAGCTCCGCCAGCTCACTGATTGCCTTCATTTTTCAGTGTCACCAGCAGGAAAGCCAAGGCAGTGTACCCATGTGAGGCTGAGCACGACTCTGAGCTCTCCTTCCAGGTCGGTGCAATATTCAACGCCGGTAAGTGTTATCGCCTACACCAGTCGCTCACTCAGAACCAACCCTGGCATATTGGATTTGGAGGAAAACCGAACACCCAATCTGATCTTCAATCGAACACAGAGATGAGACGAGCAGAGGGAGAACGGGGAAGTGTGGGGAGAGCGTAGGGAGGGGAGGGAGGCACAGATTTGCTCTTCAGTGAGTCTGGAAGAGGCTCCACTGAGCTTTAATCACTCTCAGAGGAAATGAGGATTTTGTAGTTCCTATTTTTTGTCCAAAACCCTCTTTTGTGAGACACAGACAGTATAGAGATACTATAGTCCTTCCAGGGAATCAGTGGTCATGCCTGTGATAGGATCCATACATGCATTGCGGCTTACTGGTTGTTATGGCCGGTTTTTTTCTTTGTCCTCTATTCAAAAGGCGAGATAACAAATCGTTTTTTATCCATTTTTAAACCTAGCGGTCTGTTGGGTTAAAGTAAATGATGTCCCATGAAACATTCAGTGATAAAGAGTTGTGATCTGTTTGTCAAACACAACAGCTGCCATTGTTATGGCTCATATACATTCTATTTCTTTATACTGTATGCATAATCTTTCCTGTTTCGACATTTTACATTAAATCCATCAGTTAGCTAAAGAGGTTATGTCAGGATAAGCTGCCTACAACAGCAAATTAAATTTAACACAAGGTGGATTTCAACTCATAAATCTGAATAAAAACAAACACAAATAGATTTAAGTATCTCATATTCAAAAAGTAAATTAGATCATACATTAGATCCCTCTCTTTTGTTCTGAAACTTGTATTTGTGATTTTTTTTTTTTTTCATTTTCAGCTATGTGCATAGCAAAAGGTCAATAGGTCTAAATGCAGCAGCTGTACATGCGATCTTAAGACAACAAATCACTTGTACAAGTGAAAGATCAACTTCGCCTCACTATTTATTCTAGAGGCTAAAAACTAAAGTTAGTTGACTGTATAGCTTTGAGGTGTGTTCACAGTCCTGATTGAAAGTGTTGGATTTATTCAATGATCACACACTTTATACATGATATTCTCCATTATGCATTTACTAAACTAACACACATAACTCGAGTTTCATGTCCACAAAGCAAAAAGTAGAAAGATGTAGACATTAAAAATACTCATGGCGTGCTTTTTAGAAAAAGTTTGTTTGTCAACTTTATAGTTCAACAAAGGATGTTGATTCAGATTTTAGTTTTTTGGACTGATGAATCAAGACGAATGAAGAAAAACAATATTTGGCGATAAACCGTCTGAAAATGGTAAAAAATAAAAATAAAATAACCACACAGCAGCTTGGGATTAAATTGAGTTTTGTTATTGAACTCATACATATGTATGTATTCTTTCTCTACCATTCATTATATGAAATGAAAAACAATTCTTAATCTCTTTTATTTCAGTCTTATCGTCCTGGGAAGGAAACGTTGAGGAATAAAAAAAACAATATGAGTAGACATTAAAAATAGACCTGTGAGTTAATTTGGAGGTTAAAGCTGTGTTAGATCCTCTTCACTGAATATTAGTGATGGATCAAATCTTTTCTTGCTCTATGAAATATTGGGCTCTTTTGACACCAGACATTTGCTGTAGGAACATTTCTTTGGCTGCGTTCAAACTGCCGGCCTTAATGCTGAAATCAGACTTTTTAAAACAATTATTTGAACAATACTTAAGATGTGGCCTGTATCAGACCCCTGTGTGAACTGGTCATGGTCCTGAACTGACCTGCATGCACTAAAGAACAACAACAACAAAACATGACATGCAGCATGGTGTGAAGAGAGATGAATTCATAACAGGCTGAACTGATGAGCTACAAACATCTGTAGGAGAACAAAGTGAAGTGCTTTACAGTTATGGAGGTAACTCCCGGGTTAACTCCATCTTTCAGGACTACAAAGGTGGTTCTATTGTTACATGACTTGATCACCATGGTAACTTATGCTGAACATATAACCCTTTATGTTTGTGATGATGTTCAAAATAAGAAATCAGCCAAACTCTGTTTACTGACCAATCAGATTTCTTGATCATGGTGCCCTGTGATCTGATCATGAGAGGGGAGGAGGGAGAAAGACGGACAAACACGCCTTGTTTCCCGTCATTATCTTTTAGTTTAAATATATGATCGTGTAATCTTATTAATGACTTACAGTTGCCTTACAGCACTGAAGCCTTTTTGGTTTTTTTTAAGCGTACTGACTGCTTCCAGTTATGTTTTCATATTCATTTTAAATTAATTTGAGGACAGAAACAGGTTATTATATTCAGATCTAATGTGCACTTAGTGATATTATAAGCCTTCATTTGCACATTCACTGTCACCCCGTTCTTCCTGCGTTCCTCGCTGCAGCTGTGTTTTTATTTTGGATAAAGTGTTGAACTTTTTCATATTTTTTAAAATCACAGTTTGCTCTGAGTTTGTATAATATGACGATCTGCTGACAGCAGACTTGTCCATGATTGTGAAAGTCTGGGAATGTTGAACACAGTTGGTCCTGTAGCCATCACCTCTCCCTCCCCCCTCCCCCCACCCCTCGTGCTGCCAGCGAGTGATTGTCAAGCATTCAGACCTGGCCGTACAGACTGAGGTCCCATTGGAAAGGATCCGACCTGGACCTGTATAAGATTTGAAAGTGTCCCAAATCTGATTTGAAAAGATCAGACTCTGTGTGGACTTGTGCTGTTCACACTGTCATAAAATAATCAGATCTGAGTCACATAGTAGCAAAATCTGATTCAAGCCTGCAGTAGTTTTTGAATCTCAAATGCAAGGACGATGTTTCAATTTGTAGACAAAAGAAGAATTATGGGAGACTGCTTTGGAAGTTCCAAAAAAAAAGTTCTGCGCTATGACATATCTACGGATAATAATAATCCTGAAATGAAATCCAAACACTTCAAATATGTCCCACTGCTTTTTAGTATTCCTGTCTTATTACTTTTGCTCTTCAGACCTGTGCTTTGTTAAAACATGCTCTTTCTCTGCATCCTCTATCTGCCCCCCACCCCTCACTCTCCCTGTGGTGCTGTTCCCCCTGCTGACACTTTGTCCTCTCCTGCAGTGACCCCGTCCAGAGAGCCCGGCTGGCTTGAGGGCGAGCTGGAGGGAAAGAGGGGCCTCATCCCTGAAAACTACGTAGAGATGCTGTAGCTCCGAAAAACAGAAATATTTATGGACAAGTTATCAACTCTACCAGCAGCGAAGACAATCACAGTCAAGCCTTGTTTCTCAAATCCATGTATTCTCTCAAGCAAGTGACAAAATGTTATCATCCATGGATTCTTGATGCTCACGTTTATGCAGTTTTTTGGTTGTCAAGTAGATTATTTGACGCTTGTTTTAGTTTGGTCAGGAATCCACGTGACAATCGGCATTGTAATGAAAAAAATGGTTTTGCACTTACAATATTCTGCTGTATACAAAGACGCTGGAGCCTCTAAACATCCATTTAAACAGCTCCAGAGGTTGAGCGTCCCCTCTGTCTAACTCTCTTCCCCCAGTTATACATGGTATCCATGAGCTCCCAAGTCAAAGAAGATCCTCAGAGAGTGTAAGGATCAAGGGATGTCAGAACTCAAGCTTTGGTTAAAGATGTTTAACGACAAATCCAGCAGCTTTACGCCTTCTTTGACAATGATGCACAGTTGGTTTCAGCTTTAGAGAGATTAGAGATTCTGTACCTACCGTGCCTTAAACCAACAGCAAGTGCCAATGTATGTATGGGTATGTAGGGAAGTGGAGTGTTACTGCTTTAGCTTTTAAAATGTTGCATTTGTTTCTGTTTTTATTTTAAGAATATTTGATTATTCAAAATGAGGCACATGCTATTGTAATTATATTTTATTTAATTGGCACATTGATTGCATGACTTTTATTCATTTTCAATATACTGTTTTTCTTCTTGCTGCACTCCCCTCCTGAAACACAGGAAACGCCTCTTTGATGTATAATGATCTCGTGTTCAACACTAGCGTCAGACAGAGACGGCAGAGGTAGATTCAGATGTTATTAATAATCCAAACAAGTGTTTATGTTCCGTTGGATGATCCGTTTTTTTTGTTAAAGTTGCTCAATTTGTTCTGAGCAGGGTAATGAATAACTCCCACAAAGCTGAAATTTGAGTTTCATTTCAATGGTTTTTTTTTTATAATAATTGATTCAGAACCAAAGCTGTATAATCAAAGAGACCATGAATGCAGTATTTTAAAGTCTTTCACTTTGACATTGGTTCAGTGTATATAGACCTGTTCTCCAAAGAGTGATGAGTACCAAGTATGTTCTTACAAGTTTCATGTTAAGTGGCTGACAGATTTTAAGTTTTCATTTGAAATTGTTTTAGTTTGTACACATGTCCTTTTACAGTTCATCACTCAGCTGTTCAATAGTTCACGTCGACCTGAGCTTTGATTCAGCAGTCCATGTTTTCATGATGTTTGTAAAGGCCCTTGACTATTTTAATTTGTATACCTTTGGGTATCCGCGTTATCAATGTCATTTTAAAAAAAAAGATGTGTTTTTGTTCTTCACTTCAAGTTTCTTGCCTTTAAATAAACGTGATAAAAGAACATTTCAATTCAATATCAAATGTGTTGCTTTGTTATGAACAAAAGAAAGATTTCATACATTGTCAGAGAGCCTATGGGGAAGTAAGATATTGGATAGTCAAAAAACACTGACATTTTAACCACATGAACTTAATAAAAAGTAAGCAAATCGATCCACTTTTCCTGACACATTTTGTCAACTCAGATGTATAAATAAGTACACATGGGGAATATTTGTCTAATATTAGAGATGTTTTAATACAAGTTTTTGGCTTCCCAATACTGTTTCAAACCAACACTGAGACTTCAGTTTTCAACTTATTAGGTACTCCTCTCATACTGGAGCAAATAAAATGAATCAGTTTTATTATAAAACATCTGTAGGCTAAATTAATAGATCTTTTAGGGGATGATATGATTGCCATCGTTATATGCCTCAGCTTTTCAACCCCAGAACCTAGAAACAAGCTAATCTAACGGTAGTAGCTTCTCAGCATGTGGCCGCTCCTGAACTTTATGGCTATACTTCAGCAAACTAACAAAGCCAGAAAGGCATTCATGTTAATGCTCTGCCAATACTTACTTGAAAAACACAGACATGGTGGGGGGGGGCTGGACAGTCACGACCTTCACGTTGCCCAGCTTTGCTGTTAATTCGAGGTAAATCCAACAGGAAAGTCTGCAGAAATGCTGACTCATGGAAAGTGCATGATTTGAAGTTGTAAAGTCCGCATCAGAGGCCTCCTGTTCCTGATTTGCCAGTGGGACAGCACTCGCACACTTACTGGGGGAATGCATCTCTTAATCTGTGAGTCAGTGAGCCATGTCTAGTGTAATGTTGAGGCCTATATTGACCTTCAGTGACCCTATTGACAAACAGCAACAGAGAAACAACTTTATGAGAGGGGTTTATAATCATGCACATAGGCAACACACTAATGCTCCTCAACCTCTCATCAATTAGCAAAGAGAGACTTACTCTTGTTAATTCTTAGACTACATCTGTGTAATTAACACAACAAATACCCTCAAGACCCATCTGGCCTCGTGCACAATTACAACCACTCCAACAGAACACAAACACCTCCAGTAGGCAGGCCAATGGACTGTTGAGAAGTACCAAACACTCATGTATGACTTGAAAATACCTGATTTTGGAGCTTTCGTTTCAAGTGTGCCACACGTCCTCTTCTGCACACATAGTGATTACATAATGAAATGAGGCAGAGCTAATGAGACGGGCAAAAATATTCCCCCTCAATCAACCCCACAGGGCTCTTCATCATCATCATCATCATCATCTTCCCTCTGCCAGAATACTGCTGAATCATAAAGACATCCACCCTGCCTGCCTCTCACTCTGCTTTGGACTGTCTATCAGAAAGTGTGCCATATGGCTCTATCTGCCATCCTTTCCCCTCTGCATACCTTTCTGTGTCTCAGGTGCATTTATAACTCCTCTCGCTGTCTCCCACTTCCCGGCCCTCCTTCTTCTTCTTCCTTTTCTGCTCATTTTACATTACTTTAATAGAACTTTGTTTATGTTTATTTTCTATCTTGACTTATAAATTGGATGCAATAATCCAGATAGACCAGAGTCACATTTTAGAAACTACAGCTGCTGTAACATCACTTGAGATTCCAGTGTCTCCACATGCATTATGTATTGACATCTACCATTACAGGATGATTCATACATCAGTGTAGCTGTCGATTTAAACTCAATATACTGTAGGTGTGTGAGGTGGGGAAAAATCCAAATATGCATTTAAATTTTTCATTCGTGAGAGCCCTGGCTGTGTGCCAACTGTCCTCTGCCTCCCCATGACGCAGTGTCCTTCAGCCCCGAAACATAGTCCCACACCGTGACTTAACTCAGATCAAAGCCTACAGCATTTTACCTCAAACTACGAGGAAATGACACAGCTCAGTGCCACCGAAATATGTCTACATTCCCAAATCTGCTAACTTAAAACATTCCCGTGTCTTTATATGGTTTGTTCTGCAGCAAAGCATCAGAAATAAAATCATAACAGAACTTGATGTGTTATTGGGGGTGAAATCTGAGTGGGAAATTGGAGAAAAGTGAATTTCAAACACAGAGGAGAGAGTGTGGAGGGGTGGGGGGGGGAAAAGCTTCAGCTCAAAGAGTGGGCCACAGAAGCTGCCATGTGCGCGGGCGCAGCCGTGAAATCAGCCTGATCCAATAGATTCTGTTTATCTGGCACGACTACAAGTGAAAGCAATTGGAAATCTGGGGGAGATTTGGAGAGGGCTGTGGATTCAGAGAGGAAAAAAAATGAGCAAAAAAAAAGTAATACTGTCTGCTCTACAGCCTGGCAAAGCAAGCAAATTTTCAGAGCGGCTTTTAACAAGGTTAATGGTGATTTTTCTCCACAGGCGCTGTTTTACTGTAAAAGTCTCATCTTTGCACGGTTTATCTCTGTCTTTTTTACTCTCGTCTCTTTCTGTTTGTCTTTGTTTCCTTCATCTCCTCTCCCCGTGACGGCTCTACCTGCTGCTGCTCCACATCATTTCTGTCTTTCCATGCTACCTCTGTGTTTTTTGGCTCATTATCCTCCCCATCCACCAAATGCAGCTGTTTTGAATTCACACAGATCAAACAGTCCAATTTTTAGGGCATGGTTCCTAGCTTCCAATTTTTTTTTTTTCCCACACACTCACATACAGCACTTACTGTACATACATACACAAACAAACTTCACATCACGTTATCGGTTTAAACAGTTTTATTAGAATCTTGCAATAGTTTTGCAAACACAAGTATGGCAATATCTGCATCAAGATACAGTAGTAACGGGTTTCAAAGATGTTTCGTAGGTTGATGTTGAAGGATGTCAACTGTTGGTTTGCTGGATAGTTGTTGAGAAATATTGTACAAAGCATCTGAGTAAAAAGTCATTTTTGGAATTGGAAAAAAAAGCATTTGTGTATATTTATAGAATAAGAAGAAATGCACTGCCATGGCTGTGGAGATATGGCTTAGTCTACACCCGATTCATCACCGTGAACAGAAAATGGCAATGACGTGACTCCACATATAGTGACGTAATGGTGTACTGTGAACAGCAGTAGAACACATTCTGAGTCATTCATGCCTGAAGGGAGCCCATTTAAAGTGGGACAGTTTTAAAGATAACATTGCTCTTTTTCGTAGGGAAAATGATATTTTAGGAGTTTTCAGTAGGTGGTTATTGATGACCAATAAGTATTATTCACTTTGTCTAACATTTCAGTAAACACATATATTCCTTTATTTCAGGGGTAACATCACAAGACTGACACACCCTTTCATGTCAGTTTTGTTAATATAAAGGTACTGCCAGGGTACAGTTAGCTTAGCTTAAAGGCTAAAAGCAGGCGTAACTGCTAGCCTGGCTCCATCCAAACAACATTTGCGTACCCTCGTATTGCTTGTGCCAATAAGCATATTTTATCTTGTTACATTCTTGCAAAAGCAGACATAAAGCCAGCAAGATGGGGTTTTATGAATGTATAATGTGCTTCACAATTTCTTGGTCTAGTGCAGTGACTAGTGATGAAAGGAAAATGGGCGAGCATACAACCCCAAAAACAAAACCTACCTCGAATTTTGATGTTTTTTTTTTTTATGAATTTATTGAACAGATTCAGCTTTGGAGGTGCTTAAAGTTTTATTTGTTTAACATTTGGACAGAGCAGTGCTAGCTTGGTCTGATCTTTCAGTTTAGCTAGGCTAAGCTAAGCTAAGCTAACATGTCTCCTGGCTGTAGCTTTGAATTGACCAAACAGAAAGTATCAATTCTCATCTCCCTCTCGCCAAGAACTGCACTGTCACAGAAGTTAGAAGCCAATTTTTTTCTGGAGTCCAAATTGGCGAGTGGCTTGACAATGTTATTAATTCAATTGTTATCATTAGCGGGACTTCAAAATGTATAGACGCTTGTACTTTTTAAATAACCAGCCTTTGAGACAAATTTGTTTCTTCTGTGATTGATAATTATTTTGGCAGTTAGTGCAATATGTCCAGTTTATAACTTGTAAAAAAAAAAAGAGTCAAATTTTCTGTGATTTCTTTAATTTTGTGTGCATAAGCTTTCTGAAACAAAAAAAAAAAACGTTTAAGGAATTCCAATTTCAATAGTTTGTGAAATTGATAGTGGTGCTCATCAAAAAAACCACCATGGGGTAGGATATCATATCAACAGCAACAACTCAAAGGATCCATCACTTGATACATTTTGTTACAAAATAAGAAATACTTTTTTGATTATTATTATTTTTTGTTTGAGCCACTTGAACAATGATGCAAAAACAAGGAAATAAAAAAAGGTGCAAAATAAAAGAACTTTACTTAATAAGAAGATAATAATTGTACTCTTTCTAACATTCAGGTAGCAAGTTCAATAAGTCTCTCACAATGTATGATACATTCAGTTCACTATTTGGCCCTTTCTGGCACCCTTACTGTAAATTCTTTCTCTGTGAAACAACACACAGAACATGGCGAGTGGGAAACACACATTTTTCCAACGAGATGGTTAAAAGTAGAAATGTTTTATACTATACTCAACATAAGGACTTGCTGTATTATTTACAATATATACTGTAAAATTGTAAATCAGGTGAGATAAAAAGGCACAAGTTTCCCTTTTTTAAATACAATGTAAACATCTCATCAAAAAGCATGCATTAACATTTCATTTTACAAAAAGGATATCATTTTTAACAAAGTACTTAAATATTGTTTTCCAGCAAAATATAATTCTCTCAAAAATACTTTCCCATTCATCCTATGAACCTTTTAGACAGTTTTTTTATTCCTTAAAAAGGACAAAAAGGGGGGAAAAGAAAACAGTGAGAGATTAGCTTAAGGGTCCTTCAAAACTTGGAGGCATGTCTGTGAGGGACTGTATGAAAATTAGTTGGCATTTATATTTTACATCTCATAAAATCTCAAAATATCATATTCATGGCAAACATGTAAATTAAATTAAGAAACAACTAGTCTTCTTTTAATTTTACTTTACTTTTTATCATTAATTTGTTAGGTCTAGAAAAGCCACTGATTAAATGCATCAGGCCCAGATGCCATCTCTCCTGATGGCTTTTTTTTTTTTTTTTTTTAACCTTGAATGGATAGAAAATATACAATTCTTGGAAGAAAGGAGGTTCAAAAACCCTCCCATTCTCCCCCAATAAATATAGACAACCTTCCTATGTGCAAAACATAAAAATTCATATTCCCCATTTCTGAACCTTCTCAATAATTTTCATACAATCCCTGACTGTTGTGATCATGCCACTCTCTCATCTATTTGTATGCCAATCATTGCACAATTAACACCACAGAAGAGACCTCATTATGTAGCACAGCATCATCATTTTGCTGCACTGTAGCCACAACTACAGTTCACCAGCACCCTGCTGAGCCAGTGATGTCATGTTGTCTAACTTTAGGCTGGGTGACCATGCAGAAAGTATTTTCCCGCATCATCACAGTTGCTTATCAAAACAGACAATTCCCCGCTAGCTGCACTAATGCCTCATTTCACATTGTATCTCCTCTGTGCAAATCTAAATGTGGAAATAGGATATAGCTAATCCCATAACATGAATGCATAAAACCCACGCTGAAAGAGCAGATCAATGCACTCGCCAGGAAAAAGAACCACACACACACACACACACACACACACACACACACACACACACACACACACACACACACACACACACACACACACACACACACACACACACACACACACACACACACACACACACACACACAAACTTATGCTCCATTCACACATGTAAATACACACTCACAGGGCAGAAAAAAAAGAATAATCACATGCCTCCATTGTTTTTCTTCCCCAGCGGCTCTATCACTTTTCAGTAGCATCATAGTAGCGTTCCCCAACCACCCGGAAACCAGTAGGGTGTGAGATAACTTAATGGTCCAAATGACTGGGCCTGCTTTTCTTAAGAAAAGTAGAACTTAGCCCAAAGAAATTAGGAGAGGTGAACAAAGCAACAGTTCTTCATCAAGCATTCATCAACATGTACCCCAAAACATCATCTGTACAACAGCTGAAGAGAATGTGTTTAAGAAGTTGTTAATACCTGTACACATTTGCCTGGTATTGATACATTAGCCGTTTGCTGTAAGCACTGCGGAGTAATGCTCAATTTGGGATTATATCAACTTTACAGAGTATGTGTGTTTAAACTGTGCGACCGTATACACAACGTATTGAGAGGACGGTCTACAAGTCACTGTACATGTTATGTTTTGCCTGTTTTTTTTTTGTTTTTTTTTTGTAGAAATGAAGCACCTTAAGTAAAATGACTGGCTTGTCAAAAACTAAACCTTTGCGACACACTTTTATAAAATTCTTTTTTATTATTTCTGGGAAGAGTAGATAAGTGTTGGTGCACAAAGGGCTGGTTTCGCTTCATTGTGAGTAAAAACAGACATTTGGACAGCTGCTCTGGAGATAACACAAAACACAATTACTATGGATGCACCTCTGTCAAATCCATTACCAGCTGACTCTATTGAAATTGTTTCCGTAAAAATATGATGTTTTTCCAATCCTGCAGCACCCCAGACCCATTTTTGCACAAAGGTTACTCATCAACGTTGTGTTAATTCTACACCACAATGTCTAAAATAGTGACTTTATGACATGGGAGCTTCACGTGCAAGCTTTCTTTACACAAGAGAGACATTTTTTTATGTCAAAACAGCTTAAGCTTTGGACTTTTGCATATTAGTTTTGATTGTTTAACTACATAATTGAATTAAAAAAGTCAGCATGTAAATGTTAATGATAGCTATAATGACGCTGATTGAAATTCAAACTTGGACTTGTTAGCTTTATGCACATTCTCAGCTTATGATGACACTTGTATAGCCCTTTAAATATATATTCAAATAGACCTCCCGCCTTAGGTCTTGTATTTCTGTGCCTGCTCTTTATGTTCCTTGCCCTGTAGTCTTGTAGTATGTTGCTACACTGCAAAGCTAATTCTAAGTACTGGCATAATGTTATATATTTTTAGAGTGCTATTATTACGAAAAAACTGCATAAGCCACAGTTAATATTTTCAAAGACTTTTTTTTCCTCTAGATTAGAAAGGGAATCTGATTTTAGTGCATGTGGAGTGCATCTGTGCGTTTGTGGACAGCATGTGTGTCAATTTACCTCTATGTTGGATTGTGTGTGTGTGTGTACGTGTGTGTGTGTGTGTGTGTGTGTGTGTGTGTGTGTGTGTGTGTGTGTGTGTGTGTGTGTGTGTGTGTGTGTGTGTGTGTGTGTGTGTGTGTGTGTGTGTGTGTGTGTGTGTGTGTGTGTGTACGTGTGTGTGTGCAGTGAATGTATCTAGCTCATCCTAGGAAATGTATGGCTTTATCTCCATAGAAAATACTGTTATCATCTTTGGGGGCAGGGGCAAGGGGTCTCAGGGAGGGTTACTTCGGGATGCTTTGTCACATTTGTCATAAGTCCTTCCTCAGCCGTGTCGCGCTCTTTTTTTCGACGAACTGTTTACAGCTCTGACCTGCTCTTAGTGTCTGCAGGGGGAAATCCATGTCTCCTTTCTTACTTCTGTCACCACGCAGCTTAACTCCCATCCTAGACGGCGGCGCTGGCTTACTGGGCGACGGGGTGCAGGCCGACTGTTCGGGCCTTCCTCGCGCATTTCCTCCTCTAGTCTTGAAAACTTTTTTTCCTCTTCTCTTCCAGTTCTTTATGCCCTTTCTGTCCAAAGGTTTATGTGAGTCACTTCTTGTGGAAGTAGATTGTGTGAGTGAGGCCTGACTCCACCTTTGGTATCTGGTCACTGATGATCTCCACCAACATTTCGGGGAACTCTACCTTCAGGGCCTGCGACTCGCGAAAGGTGTAGAAACAGAAGTCCAACAGGTTCCCCACCAGCTGCACAACACAGATGCACAAAATTATGAGAAACATACTTTAATCACAGCCTAAGACAAGACATTAGATATAAGAATATTTTTTATTTTAAAAGTACAATTTATTCTTTAATCTAATTTATGTATTCTTTTTTTTTTCCAAATTACATAAATAAAGATATTTCTAACTCAATTTAGAGAACAAAGACTCCAAAATCCAATAAACAAAGGGTTTGATGCTCAAACTTCCTGGGGGAGAACCTCCAGACCCTCATGCCCCCCAAATAAAACTCATAGTTGCCTCTTCAATGTTGATGGAAAATCTACGCTCTACCCTATAAGTTGGTTGCCATACTGCTGTGGAACAATCCACATTCCAGCTATTTTTATCTCACCACTAGGAGGCAGCACTGATTTTTTTTGTTTTGCAAAGCCCTTATTTAAAGAAGGGTCGTCCTTTCAGCACTCACCCCATTCCCTCAGTCAAAAGGGTCATTGGATTTTGGCCATTTATCGCTCTGACCTCTCGCTTACTGACTGTCACTTGCAGCTTTAACTACAGTGTGGTTATGCTGGTTGACCAGTGCATATATCAAGAGCAGTGGTTAAGCACATTTGCTGCAGTGACCACTGTGCTGATGCCATTGATCCCCTTCTGTTCCATTCACCGATACAGGCTGGTCAACTCCTCTTCCAAAATAACCTCCCCCTCAGGGACTGATTGGGATGCAGTAATCCTTATTCCAAGCCCTAGTAACATCGAACCACTAAGTACACGCATTGTCCAAATCCACTATCCAGCCAAATTTTCCAAAACATTTCCACTGATTTTAGAAATGCCACATAAAAATACCACTGGACACCTCTCAGTCTGTGTGAAGGCATGGCATACAGACATGCCGCGGGGGGAAGCCTGTCTGTGTACTGTAGGAGACTGGGCATGGAGGCAGACGGGGTGAGGGGACTTACATCATGCATGGCGTCCAGTAGTTTGGTGAGCTGGAAGAAGCGCTGCCAGGTCTGCCCAGAGTTGTTGGTTGCTTTTCCCACAGAACGCCGAAGCTCCTTGATGTAGTTAACCCTCATCTCCTCAAATGCCGCCTGGTTCTTCAGACCCTCTTTGGGAACTAGAAAACAGAGAAACAGGAACATTGTGTCATCACCTGGATTTCAGAAAACAGACAACATCATGGTATGACATTGTGCTCATTTAAAATACATTTGAACTGGGACCTATTAGAGATATCTGAAGCTTTGACATTATGGGCTGGAACACTAAACATAAAGCTCAAAATATTAGCTAAGACTTATTTTCAACTTTAGTGCATTTTCAATATTACACCACATTAGCTATGCATGTTTTGTGTGCTTCATGTTAATAAGCATCGTCAATACTTATCAGATCGATTCATATTCATAAGAGATTCCTTCATGACTTAAGTATCCAAGTCAACACCTGAACCTTTGTTAGGTTATTACAGAAAATGATGCTAAGTGTATGACTAGCATTCCTGTTATGTATTATGATTTGTGTAACTTTAATGAAGTACTACCATGATCAGGCCGAAGACAACTTTCCCATTAAAGAATCCATTAAAAGTGTTTTTAATAGATTTTCATTCTATAGCCTATGTCACATTCATGCCACGATTTTAAATTAAATCGTTGTGAATTTCATTGATTGTTATTGACCAGTCCTCAATTTTCAATCACTTGTGTTTTTTTCTGGTAAAAAGCAGGGACTGTTCTCTCTCTCTGTTTTTAAAATCCCGTCCTTTGTGTGTGTATATTGAATTTAATCTAAGTAATTGCACTATTTTTTTTTATCAGGTAGTCAAACCTGGAGGACAAAAACAAACCAACAAGAAAACACCACTGTTGATACACTGACAAAGAAGAACTTTATATTCAGTTGATTCAAATAAAAAATGGATTATTAAGAGCCAGATTTAGAAAAAAAAAAACACTATTAAAATGTGTTCACACATTTTCTTCTGTAATTTACGAGTATTTCTTTCCAGCAGTCTACGTTTTATATGAACGTGAAAACTAGAAAAGCAAAAACTCCCAAATGGGAACATTTGAAAGCCATAAAGAAAGAGTTATGTTGAACACAACTTATGGTAAACCATTTCATGTATTGTTTTTCTATGTGATGAAAATGGAAATCAGGGAGAGAGACAGTGGGGAATAACATGCAGGAAAGGAGCCACAGGTCAGATTTGAACCCAGGCGCCCCGCTTGGAGGGACTATAGCCTCCGTACATGGGGCACGTGCACTAACCACTAGGTTACCAGCGCCCCCCCCCCCCCTTTAATGGATTTTAAATGGTTTACAAGGTTTTGCAAGCATTTTTAAGCTGCTTTCATACAGATATGAGAGATGAAAGAACCAGCAGCATCGTGATATGTATTCATGTATTTACGATACACTTTAGAGAATGGCAGGCAGCTGCACTTGAAACACCATTCACAGATAATGGGCTGAGCCTGGCAAATTCACCGGTATGTTCCTTAAACGCAGAAATGTGTAACTGTGCGTAGGATAATTAAAGGTGCTCAGTGAATTACACTCTCACTCCCACACAGCAGCCTTTTTTTGGACCTTTTTTCCCTGTGTTGTCGGCCTGAGCCCATTTAGCAACTCGTTAAAACCACTTTCACCATTTCAAGAGGTAATTAGTTTTCACGTGCAGTCGCTGATTCATGAAAGACCACTGATATACTGAGAGGCATTAATTCAAAGTTAGCCAGGAAGCTACAGCAACAGAAAAGGGAACAACAGTGTATTAAAGAGCGTGTATTAAAGCAAGATTTTCCTCACTCTTTCTCTGTCCCTGACTGTGTAGGAGAACAAAGTCACAGATATGGAAGTTTGCCAACGCTCTTAAATTACATTCATCCGCTGGCTTCCACATTAAGAAACACCTCACTTCTCACAGAGTGCAGCTCAAATCAGTCTGAGGAAACACCTCCACTTGTCCTTCAGCCAATAGATATGACATGGCTACATACCATGACACCATTTGAGTTTGTCAAACAATAGAGGCGTGCATACCAAGGAATCTTTGCCTTTTATACCTGAGGGCGTATTAGGTCATTTAAGGTAATGATGGGGGCGTATTAGGGGTGTGTTGGATTAACCAAAAACAGACAATTATTCCTAATTATTTCCTCAAAATAAGTTTCTGAGGAGCTGTTTCCACATCCAACTATCTTGTGAAGTAGGTGCATAGGACATGTAAAAGAATTGATGATGCTTAGCAAGAGTAGTGTGCAGGATTTTTTTCTTTTCAATGTGTGACGCTCAAAAAAAGTTTCAAAATTCCTGTTCAGAATGATTGACTGTATCAGCAAAATTGATCCATGATGTGACCCTCTCATCCTCTGGTGTGAATGATTATTGAGGGGGCAAAAAAATAGCAAATCATTAAATAATTACTGGATGCGTTTACTTTGCTCCTACTGTAATGTGGATTAGGGCTGCAATTTATTATAACGTTTATTATCAGTTGATCCATGCATGTTTTCACTTTCTTCTGTCTCATCAACGCTCACTGAAATTCAATTAACAGTTGGATGTTATTACACATGGTCACAGGTTCGACTCCTGATCCTGATGATGTTTGGTACAGTCATGTAATCCTCCATTCTCTCCCTCCCCTTCTTTCATGTCTCTCAAGCCGTCCTATCCAAATAAAGACAAAAGCCCCCCAAAACTTTCTGCAGTTAAACAAGAAAACAATTGAATGTTGTTTATAAAAAAAAAAAAACGGTATATCTTCACGAGAGAAGCTTAAAAAAGGACACATTTGGTATTTTTGCTTCAAATAATTAAACTATTTCATTAATTAAATTAATGAGCTGGGTTTTTATTTCCAAAACTGTAAGCACAAAAAAAGCAGCAAAAGCATAACCAACCAACAACACATACAAAAACCAGCATCTGAGTCTTTCAGAAATAATTGCCATGAGCATGAGAAAGTCTACTTCTTGTCGTTTGGGATTGCATTTATTTGTGAACAAGTAAGTGCAGGTCAAGAACGCTCCTTTCTGTTTCTTTGTATTGCCCTGCATTGCACAATCCTCCTTCAAATATATGAGGTCGTACTGGACTGACTAAAGCAGATATTAAAGACATATTGGACCACGGTTCAGAGGCCGGGATTTCCATGCTGTAATTCATCAACTGCATGATGAGAATGTGCAAATACCCTGGGCCTCATTTGGACTTTGTTTTCCTCCCACTGACCCATATTTACCCTGATTAGAAAGTGACCTTTCATTTAGGAGCTGTAATCGTCAACTCCCCCTGAAAATAGGCCGTTTTTGATGACATAACAGGTGTCACAGAAATCTTTTGCTGCAGGTAGAGAGGTGCATGCGAACAAAGACCCGAAAAACCCGTTTATAAAGAGGCAGACATTGCTAATGAAGCGTGAAGGTGTCTGCTTGTTTTTTTCGAAAGACATGCAGCTTCCTGCTCTGAGTTGTCGGTACATACTGTTACTATTCATTCAACAACTCACCCTGAGCATGATTACAGTAACATCTCAAACTCTAGTGGCTTGTCGAGCAGGAAAATCAAATCTAAACACAAACCAAAAACACTAATGACTAAATGGAATGAAAATCAAGGCAGTATTTTTAGAAACAGCAATTATCAATCTAATGCTTAACCCAACTGTAAAATCTGTCACAAAAAAATACACCCAATTCCTGACATGGGTGCACACACTCACATCGTCAAGATCAAGGCCAAACACAGAAGACAGTTTGGTTGGAGAGCAAACGAACGGGATAATTTGTCAATATTATGTGAGTCTGCTTTGAGGTGAGGAGTGTAACTGGTTTGTGCAGGCCGCTGCTCCCGTACCACATCTAAACAGGGTCATAAGACACCGCAGGCTCAGTGAAACCTTAGCCAAGGTCAGAGAGAGAGAGAATAACAGCGCTTCTCTCTTTTCTCCTTATCCCTCTCTCTCTCTCTCTCTCCTCCTCCTCTCTCCTTTTCACCCGTTCACCCCGAACACACACACATGAACACATACACATTTTTCAAACCAGCCCAAAGGCGCACACACACACACACACACGCAGTGACTCTGTAGTATTTGCTCCACTGACAAGTTCTGACAACTCCTCTGTAAACATTTCTTCCACTGCTGCTTCCAAAAGGCCTTAGCATTAGCACTGAACCACTGTAACCAAGAACAAGCTTTCTGTAGAAAATGCATTATTTAATCTAACTAATACTTTCTTGAAGTATTTGCCAGATAATGATTGTAATGATAATAACCTTTATTCACTCTCCGGGATGCAAAGTGCTTTGCAAATGAAACAAAGTAAAACAAAAGAGAAGGTCATAGAATTATCAAGTTACATCAATAGTTTTGGCAAAAACGTAGATATGATATATCTTGAAAGAAACAAAGAAAAAATAAACATGAAAGACAGGAAAGGCTCTTCGATAAGAGTATGCTCATAAAAGCTGAATCAGGAAGTAGCTCTATCACATTCACTTTTTATGGAAATGTGCAGACACTTTTTCCAGTGCACAAGAGAAACCCAGCACTTTATTTACATTTTCTCAGAATAAGAAATATTTTATGTAAGCCCTATAATGTCTGGATCTAATAATCGAAGCAGATTATTTAAAGAACCTTTAATTCCCTGTTTTGGGTCTGTGTACTTTTATCCACACTCTCTCCTTTCAAAAATTCCAGCCCGGGTTTGAAGGAAGTGGAGAAAAATAGCAGGTCTTGGAGCGCTGCCTGGCCCTTGACTGGCCTTTATTAAGTACAGCAGGACTTTCTGGAAAACCTCCAGAGGACCAGCAAGGAAGAGGAGAGGGAGGCCACAGCAACAGAAGGACCAGATCTGCCAACACCCCCCCCCCCTTTTCTCCTTTGTCTCTTCTTTCTTTCTTTCTTTCTCCCTATAGCTATGCACCTGTCTCTGCCTCACCAGCACCGGCTCTCAATGTCAACATTTGTCTGATTTCACTCTTTAAATCCCCCTTTCTCCCTCTTGGTTTCTCTCTTTATTCTCTCTCTCTTTCTCATCCCTCCCAAACATCCACAAGCTGAGGTCCAGCCGGAGCCCCCCTGCTTCCAGATGACTCAACAACAGAGTTTATATCAGGCAAATGCGTCCACACACCGGCTCTTCCATATGTCACTGTACTATGAAGCCAAACCAAACATATACCATAAGCCAGGGAGAAACTGTATATTTAGAAATCTACTCACAGAATGTTTGAAAATGCTGTATGTAATGAACTTTATATATCTTGTTGTAATGTTTTGTTTAGTTTTTAATGATTATAAAAACAACATATCATAAAAGGAATCATTCTTGTTTTAGCTTTGGCCAGGGAGAAACTGTGCTCTGGCAAATTGGACTACAGCTTTAAGACTTTTGCATACTCTGGCTCAGAAACTGTAAGGCTGCATTTGAAGTCTTTTTTTACTTCATTGCCAAAATGGAAACAAATCGGGGCTAGGATAACAGAATAAGTGGAGAATTTATTGGGGGGGGAAAAATCTTCAGTAATGTTGAAGCCCTGGTAGCTTGATTTGAATTATGCCATTATTAGTGTAAAGCCACTGATATATCTGAGTCAATATCCGAGCAGTTTCCAACTACAAATTGATGTTAATGATGCAAAACTATAAGCGTGTTCCTTGGTTGCTCTCTGTATAACCCCCCTTTGGATAAAGCTGTCAGTTAATTGGCCAAAATTTAAATGTTTAATGGATGAGCTTGTGGCACAAGGATGATGTAACACTTACAAAGGATGAGTTTTGCCGAGGTAAGTCCAGCATTCACATGCCACTTTCACAGGCCTCACTAACTGAAAAAGAAATACTTGGCAAATGAATATTTCCACTGATTGGCACTGATGCTGAAGTTCAAAGAGACTGAAGTTTGGCCAGCATGTGAGCTCTTCAAATAGCTCCCTAAAACTCTCCCTCACCCACCTTATCCTAACTCTCTCTCTAATCATCGGACATCTTTTGACACGCTATGAAATGAACACAAACGAGGCTCCACCAAGACAGATACGAAACTGTAGCAGATCTCATTTGTCCAAATTTGAGTGTGTGTGTGTGTGTGGATGGTTGAGTTATGACACACCCGCCATCTTGGAATCTGAAACTGTTACTATTATACTGACAGCAGCAGCTCGCAAAAGGGTGTCGAGTTGGTGGGAAAAAATATTGTTTCCAAATGAGCAAATTGGTCCAACGCATCTTCCCTGTGAGGCTACAGTACCTGTGGGCGTAGTCTGACAACACGGTGCGACCCTATTTAGTGACTGATAGATGTATTCTGTTTATAAAAAAGAATAAAGAACTACAAAATAGAGTAGCCTCAATTTAGAGAAGATGGTGCATGCAGCATCAAGTCGATTTCCACACTAGTTTTAGCATGTAGACGGATTACCAAAAATGATAATCTAACAGACTTTAAAAAGGGAATGACTGTGGGATCCAGGAAGGCAGAAACGAGCTCTGTGCGCACTGCCTCCAAGAAACAAAACACAAGGAACCTTATCAATGCGTTCCCCCTGTGAGAGGAAGTCTTTGGGTTGATAGATGTGTGAGATTATAGGAGTTATAAGATGTACTACAGGCCAACAGTATGGCAGGTGAAAACATAATACTACCATAAAACCAATTGCTCATTTTGGAACAGACAAGGCATCACAATAATGACTGTATGTAGTATACGATCAGACAGACTCAGAGGAGCTGGACTAATCCAAAATGAGACACAGATTATGATTGGACTAAAGAATTCCTGCTTCAAACTGCTCCACCATGATGGCTTAGTTATTATCTTGCATCACCCCTGTAGTTCATTTTATTTTTTTATTTTTTTTTATTTTTTTTATTTTTATTTATTTTAGCTCAAAAAAGTGCTCAGCTTCAGCAATTTGCATGAAGTTTGACATAATAATATTTCAGTTTCATGTTTCATGAAACTGTTACATGTTTGTCAAATCAAAGAAGGTCATCATCTAATCACTTTCATCATTGATCAGTCACTCTAAAGACAATGGAGATTAAAAATCCAGAGACAACGGGCTACATGCAAGATTACAATTTATTACTCCTTTTCCATCACAAACTGCAAAACAATCAAACTATACTGTAGGCCAGTCCGTGGTAGAATGCCAACATTACAATTGCAGACATTAATGGTTGCTAAAGTTAGCATTCTACCAATAAGCAATCGAATATGTTGTTTCATCTATGAACATGGCATAATGTCAGAACAAATTATCACTTCGCATTGTCTCGTTAGTTTGTGATTTATTAAATGGTAAATGGGCTTGAGCTTGTATAGCACGTTTCTAGTCTTCTAACTACTCAAAGCACTTTGAGTCAAGCTGGGGATTGAACCCTTGACCTTCCAGTTGAGAGACGACAACTCCACCAACTGAGCCACAGCCACCCCCTTAAAAAAATGGTCATTTACAATTATTTGTGAGATGCCCTATCTTTAAACATTTCTAAGATGAGCATTTTAGTTTTCCACCCTGAGTTTGAGATCAGAACAAAATGGCCACTGTGTGAATATTGCCAATGTAGCAGCTTATATTGAAGAGAACAGCTGTCTGAACTTCACGTCTAAGCATTGTCTAGTTCAAGCTTTTTACATTAAAAAACTGAATAATGTTCTGATAAACTTAGTCTGAGTTGTGGACTGCATGAAATTTCAATAAATGTTTGCTTTGGAATTAATATTGACTACGCAATATTTTTTAAACGACGATTTCTAAATGACAATTCTGTCCACAGTCATTCATTTCTGCCCGTGGGGGAGTTCGGGAAAAAGATTCAGTCATTGTCATAAACAGAGAGCAGGTAGGTATTCATAGTGAGTACATAAGTAAATCCCCTTTTGCCGGCATGTAGCTCAGAGCCTACCTGTGCTGAGAAGCAGAAGGACCTTCATGGAGAGGAACTCGTCGTAGGTTAGCTGCAGTCGGACAAACTCCTGGCTCACCTGCCTCATGCCCAGACACAGGTCGTACATGGCCGACTGCTGCATGCGCTCCCTGAGGACAGATAAAGGAGGAACATTTTAAACGTCTCTTATTTAAAAAAAAAAAAAAAAAAAGAGTCTAAAATCATTCTTCAGGCTATCTCATACATATACTTATTTCTTTATTTGCTTACCCAGACAATCTGACTTTATATTACAGCTGAGTCACTCATTCACTTTCTATCACCATTCCTATCACACTAGTTCAGTCCAGTGAAACTACATTTCCACACAGTGCAGAGAGCATCCTGCAAGTCTGGGCTGAGAGCAGAATATCAAATCCCTCCAGATTGCAGAGAGTGTGTACAGTATCCCAGCGCAGATGCACCACTATAGCAGACTGGACCTTATATATAAAGTACAGTAACCCCAGTCAGTGTAAAACGCTCTGAAGAAGGACTTTTTCGAGCATCCTTTTGTTGACAGAAAGCGCACGCATCTTAACATATGACAGCTTCTCGGTCATGTGCATGATTACTGAACAGTTTTACTTGCATCCATATGTTGAAGAAAATACACAGTTACACATATTGTAAATTGTCTATGCTTAAAGTGCACATGACTCCCGTTTGGCCCCTCCCGATTTCTTTCAAACGCATTTGATCACCAGAATAATCTCGGTTACATCACAGAATTCACAAAAACAGGAAAGAAACATTAGAAAGGATCAAGCATGAGCCAATCAGAAATGTGTTCTGCAGATGTCACAGATTCACGGGGAATCTCTGGCTTCTGATGGCGATTTTCTCTGCTATAAATCACCATCACATCGAGACTACAGTAATTAAATGCAAGTGCTGTGGCTTGACATGAAAGAGGCTGCAGTTTTTATCCCCAATACAGTGGATTTGCATCATTACACAGGCGGTGAGGGAGGAGATTTCGCTCTGATAACAACTACACTGAGTATTTTGGGAAGAGGACGGATTAGAAATAAGTGCATAATGTTCCCATTAAAGCACAAGATAGAATAATACTTTACGGTATATGGCTGTGTCTGTCGGCCTAAATAACTGATAAAGTGTGACAGCGTCTGGGAGAGGAGCAGACCTGTCTCCCCTCTGAGCAGCAGCGTGTATGTGAGCAGTTTTGCAAAGTGCAGCAGAGCATCATTTGAAACAACTTTGGGCTGGAGTTTCTAAAGTCTCCACACGTTTTCTCTCCCTCCACACTCGCACTCTCTTCCTGAAATCAATTTTTGCTGAATCACTGCCCAAAATGAGCTGCTGGTTTTTGGGGAGGAAGGATTGAGGAAAAAAAAAAAAACTGGCAGCCTGGCATGTCTCTCCTTTCCTCCCGCTCCCTGACTTTTCCTCGTCTCCCTATGTCTCTGTCTCTGTCTCGCTCTGACTCTGTTTCTCTTTCTTGAACTCGCTGCTTTTTTTCTGTTTCTATGGTAAAATATTCAGGATGAGCTAAGGCTAAAGGGAAGTTCAGGCCCACCTTTTTGCTGCAAGAAGAAATTTGTTAAAGAAACTATGTCCAGAGCAATACCTAAAATAATGAGAAGTGATCCTTTATATAGTCTTCAAGCCTCTGTGTGGGTGGGACAGTGTGTTTGATTGACAGCTGAGCTGGCAGAACAGTGAAACATTTTAAATCATCTGGATCCAGTGAAGACCAATCCCAAACCAAGGACAGACTGCATTTTGTAACATATTGATAATTAAGGTACAAGCATCATATGAACTGACATTTATGGGTCAAATCCTATTGGCTCAATGTGTTACAGCTGACAAGCTAATTCAATATTTACCCTAAAAAATGACATTAAAAGTGCTCTTCTCAATGGCTTTTACTGTCTTTATATCTGTAAGCCAGTGATAGAGCGTTAGCACACTCCTGTGTGTGACTGTTACTAAATTTAATATAAAAATGAATAAAAAAAACTGTATTTGCTCTATGAATATAGTTAACAATCTATCCAACACAACATTAAGGGAAATGTCTTCTTTTTTTTTTTACCTCTTGCATGAATCTGCATGAATTTATCATGCATCCAATACTAAATGAACTCTGTCTTTAATATAAAGTGCACATTTGTTTTGCAGAATTTATTCTCAATCAGTGACCGTTTATGCTCTAATAGCAGGGAGAGTGGATAGTGTTCAATAAATGCTTGAATGCCCTATAGGTATAAGTAGCAATGGGAACAAGTGTACAGTGTCAAACCCTAAAAGACTGATAGGACTTTTCCCTATTTTTAACAGAATTATTGATAAAGTAAACAACTATAGACTTCTGAACAGGCAGGTAAAATACCTTGATCTGATAAAACATGCCAAGAAAGACAAAGACAGGAAGACAGTGACATCAAGGCTGCCTTTACAGAGCAGCAAGCATGTCACCAAATCCAAGTCATCACCATCTCCAGCCAGTCTACATGTCCTCTGCTCTGTCAGGCTGAATACCAGCCTCATCTGATAGTAAATGCATCTTAGGAAGCAGCAGCAGCCTACTGCACAGTATCTACATTTTTTGGGGTAAATATATGACATATTCATTTAAAGGAAAAATTTCAATTTAATTTCAATTTCTTTTTAACATTAATTGCCAAACGACTGAAGCTGGTAAATCTTAACAACAAAATTAGATTTGCTTGAAAACCAATATTCATTTCACAAAAAAGAATAACATCATTCGTCATAAAATGTTTGATCCACTTTTCATTAAGTAAAAGATCCGATCAGTCCCTTGTGTGGTTAAACTACTACAACTGTACTCAGCTGTCTGTGATGCAACTCAGGCTCACAGAGTCGGACGTTGTGTTGCACAATGACATGCGTCGCTGCTTTTGTTTGTTTATTTATTTATTTAAATAGAACAAACTGACCTACTGACACAGACTTACATAAGCTAATAGTTGGCGCTTTGAAACCTGTCCCTGATTGAACCTGCTCCTCTGCAGCACGATGCCAACAGTGGTTCCTGTTTAATGTTCAATTCATCATCTGCCATGCTCCACACTTCAAACTAAAAAGGCCGGCATCTACCTCCTTTCCTCTTTCGCTCCTTTTCAAACATATTAGCACAGATGAAGTGGGCCATTGACTTGCTTGTTATGCTTTGATTGTCCATGCCTGAAGCAATTAGGGAACAAAAAAACAAACACATTTTCCCTGTAAAGTGTTAGAAATCAAGGGAAAGATTATGACCTTGTATTAGTTACCTTTTAGCCTTAAAGCAACATCACAGCTAAACAAAAATCTAATTTGTAGCCTTCAAATAAATAGTTTTCAGGTATGTTAATGGAATCCTTAAAATAGTACAGCAGGAGAATACACTCCTTACTCTCCAAATTCCACTGGCAAATAGATGTTTATGCATAAATTTGCATGTGATGAGTTGCTGAAAATAGCAGATGCTACCAAGCACTAATAGTCAAAGCCTGACTGTTCAACCAATTATTGTATCCACTAATTATATTCTTTGGAAAAACAAACTACTCCCTCTCACATTTGTAATACATTATGTATTTGTGTTGGGAATCCCAGAGGACATCAGACAACACCACATTTATTTTAAGACTGTATTTACACTAATACAAATGAAAAGGAATGCTTGAAGAAACAGGCAGAACTTATATGTGTTTAACTACTAGATGTCAGGACGAAGAGAATTCAATAACATCAGTTTTATGTGTGTGGTGTACTGCAGATTGGAAAGTGTAAACCTACTCGTTGAAGATGAGGTCAGGGGCAAAGTAGAGCATCTGTCCGTTGGTGTGTTTGTAGGAGCGCCAGCTGAGGCAGAAGGAGGACAGACACATCCATGAGTACTGGATCAGGGTGATTTGGTCCTCAATCGGCAGGCCCCGGAAACCTAACACACACAAACACACACACACACACAGTAGAGACAGATGCAGTGTTAATGTGGCAGGCATTGATAAAAAGCATTTTGAGTTGAGCACCAACTTGAGAGGCGTGTGTGTACCTGTTTGTTTGTTCATGTGTTTACAAACTTACTGTGTATCTTTGCTACTGTGTGCTTTCTGTGCCAATATTTGTGTAGGCATAATAACCACTGAGAGGTAGTCACCCATTTTTGTTTCATGCAAATCCCGAAGGGGCCTCCAGTTATTGGCTTGTTGTCTATTGAGCTCCAAAAATAGAGCCGAATAGGAAATATGCCAAAATCTCAATCAAACTCCAGCCAGAAACTCCTCCTCATGCAAAATAGAGGCCAACTGAGGACACGCAAGTCGCTTATCAAGGTTTAGGGACTTTGTTGGTTAATATGCAAGATACAATCACATAGAAAAAAATTGTGGAATAGGTGTATCAAATGCTATACGGTTAATAAAGAGCACACAGGGCTGGCTCATAATTGATTCAATGATTGATCAAATGTGATCTAGTATAGAGTTTAATTATATGTTCGATGTTGGCGGGAATTTAGAGGTAAAGAGGTATCAATGAAAGATGTTGCTAATAAGGTAGCGCCAAAAAAAGTCTGACTTTCTTGAGAAGGTATTGTTGGCACCGAACAACAATATTCAATTTTCGCTGCATGTCAACCCTCCACACAAGAGAATCCGAATGCATGCAGTGGCATATCTGAAAGTCGAAGGTACTCATTTTGACCCTTCTGTCTGGCTCCCCTTCTATTTATATGTCCGGATATGGCAAGCAGACACCATGGACGTATCAAATATTTGCAATACAGCAAATTAAACAGCCTCAAAGAGCTACCTGTGAGGCATCTTTCAAAATGTCTCCTCCCGACGGGCATTTAAGGGGAACTTGTTTATCCCTTTTCAAACATTTTATTCCTTCCTGTGCTGTGGTTTAGAGGTAAAATATTAATGAGATAGACATTAGATCTTGTGTTTAACTCAACATCTTACAACGGTAATGTAAATGAGTTCTGTTTGGGAGTCTTAATCTTGATTCAATGGAATGGTATAATAGGATTGCCTGTTTAATCCTGTTGAGGCTTTACATGACAATTTCCTGACCTAATATTTTAAATTAAAATCAAGCACTCCTGAATAAACAGTGTTGTATTTCTTAAATGTAGAGATCAAAAGTGAAGATGTAGACAAGTGATCTTCATTAATTTCCAAAATAATGACAGTATCACCCCCCCCTCCTTTTCCCTCTTATTTATTATTATTATGATATTTTTACTCTTGGCATTTTTGTAATTATCCATGAATAAAATTGACTTCATTTATTTGTATGCTTACAAGATATGATATAAAAATGTAAAATGGCTCAAATGCACTTGTAACAAGTTACATTGTTACAAGTTACATACATTGTGTTGAGCTAAAAATATAAAATTTAAAAACAATTTCTACTCATACCTATTAACCCTGTCCAGCATTTTTTATTGACTGGAAATCTGACCAGCAGCATGACTAAAACATACTACAACCATAGCCATCAAATACAACCTTTAGATAATTTACACAATTCTTGTTTGTTTGTTTGTTTCTATATGGTCTTAAACAACTAACATAAATAGCATTTAGGGGCTCTAATGGTCACCAACCTGGAAGTACTTTGGCCCACTTCACCATGCGTACCATCTGCTTTCCGGCCAGGCGGTTGAGGCTGGACAGCAGGTGGTCGGTGGTGTCAGGCTGCGTGTTGTCATAGCCTGAATACACCTCTTCAGGCTCAATCAGCTCCAACACACTGCAGATGGAGGGCGGCAGAAAAGGTGTGACGACACCGGGCCCATGGGGTACCAGGGCATTGGCAGCGCTGGCGTTCAGCTCCTTCTCTGAGGAAAGGTAACCGCCTCCAACACCACTTGTAGCAGTTTGGCCATCCTTAGAGCCCTGCAGGTCTTCGTTGACTCCCTTCAGCTTCCCTAACTTCTTGGACTTTCGTGCTGTGGGGAACACAACGGTCCTCATTAACACATAGTTGATGGTGGAGTTTCTAACATTCACAATCTGAGGTTATAATTGCAGTTTGACACATACGACACAGTGTAGTTTAAATTAATTGAAATATGTATTTATAGCATAAAATATAGTAGGCATATATGGGTGCAAAAATACATTTGCGATAACAACTTTAACTGTAAATGTCAATTTTAGAAGGAAGAAAAAAATGACAGCAATCAGGCATGCTGTTATTTCACCAGTTGTTTTTCAAAAGAATGTGCTAGCCTTGTATCTGAAGAAAAAGAAAGCCCCAAGGAAGCTTCACTGTGACTCACAATGGCGGGGGGTGGTGAATCAACAATTGGAAAGTGTCCTACTCTAAAGAGGTCCCGTTAAAACCCAAGCAAATATTATTTAAATATTCCCCTTTCTGTTTAATTAACAGAGATAGAGAGCTATCAGGGATGATAAGCACATGAATAAATAAAAGCATATAGGCTAAATGCAAAATACTGTGCATCCATACAGCTCATTAAGTGAAACCTCTCAGATTGCTCAGGAAGTCAGTACCAGGGCATGCTGTGACACTCACACATAGACACATTGTACATATTCATATACATAAAATTCACACCCTCTGTGCAGTAAGGCTGTTTCCTTGAGGTAAATGAAATGATTAGCCAGTTCTGCTGCTGCTACACTGCTTCATTAAACCTATTCTGGTTTATCTGACTGCTGCTAATGATTTAGCATTTCATTAACAAGCTAACATGTCACCATGTGCTTTAAGGCCTCTCTACAGGGTCTGCTGAAAAGGTCTGAATTAGCTAATGTTAGTTGCTGCTTCACTTACACAATTTGCCAAAAAAGTATTCAATGTGTCCTCAATCACTACATGAAAAAAATAGGATGAACCTTTCCTTTCCCAGTCTCTGTGTTTTTAGACAAATTATATTATATAATTATATTTGTATCGCTTTAGATGGCGGGGATATACTGCTTCAGCACGATACCACAGTCAGTTTTTGCTTCTTGCTAGCTAACATGCTAAAGGAATGCCATGTGGCTAATATGTCGGTTTATCGCTACTGTGTACTAGATTTGTTTCAGTATTGTTTTAGCTGTTCTTGCATAGTAGAGTGAAAGTTTTCACAGCTCTCTGGTCATGCTGTCTGTTGGCTGCTAAGTTCTGCTTCTATAAAACTGCTTGTATTAGCATTGCTCTAAGCTATTTTGTGATTCACCAAATGTAGCTAGCTAGCCTATCCTCCAAGGGAACAATGTTCCACCGCTCAATAGCATCATAATTTGACAAACTGAGGAGATCTCTATAAAAGTTTCATGTTCTCAGTTGTGTTTTTAATATGCAGAAATCACCAACCTACAATGGTATAGCCTACAGGTAGGCCTACACCACTCAAGTTTGCAGGTAAGCAGGTTTTCTTGACTTTAAATAATGATCTCCACAAGGACTGAGATATTTTAACACCATTCAGACATTTTTTAAGACAGATTTTAAAAGTGTTTCAACATCATTCCTTTTCAATATTAAAACTACAGCGACATATCTTAACAGTTTCTTAAAATGTTAGTGAACACAGGACCCTGGGAACCGAAATGACCTATTTGGTTTAAGTTTGTTGTGGTGTGTGATCTTTCCACAGTGGTGGTACTGGTGATTTTGTGAAAAGCACTTGGCAGAATTAGTTTTAATTACTTTACATGGGTTGTTAGATACTAGTGTACTTTCTCAACTGGAATATATTTACATAACAGTTGTTTTTTTCAACAGCTAACACATCACTTTATTTACTCTATTGTTTCCCCATGCATAACCTTGGTTAACATTCTTTTCCCCCCCACAAAACTTGGCATTTAGCACTATATGAAAACATTTTCCTTTTTCAATTTTGACTTTCAGAATCAGACAACTTTCTATTCTTAACAGAATTTAGGCTATCAAGGCTTTGCTCCCATTAAACAGATTACACTGCTGCTCATAAACATACAGCCACACTCATTGGCAACTTTAAGCTTCTATTTATGACTCATGGTCATCTGCGGTTTTTCAACAGTACAACACATTTTACTAGACTGAGATGTTTACTCAGAGCCATGTTTTCTTCTTGTATTATAATCAGGTTTCTGATCATCTGCTTCTAAATTGACCTGGCAGCATGATTCAGATTCACACATTATTATTATTGGTTTTAAATGCATTTCACATCAGTTGTTGTCAGTGAATTGTCCCCATGGTACACTTATTGCTTTGAGACTCTATATCTAATGTGGTATTCTTTATTTTTTGGCATCCCTCTCCGGTTGTCTTTGGTCTGAGGTTGATGTGCATTTCTAGGAGTTGTAGTGTTACCCATGAGTGATTGAGTGACATGGGTTGGTCTATTTAAGATGTTGTGCTTAGCTGCTGCTGCACTCTTCCTTTAACCCTTTCTCTACACTTTACCAAACACCATTTCAACACCGCTCCTTCTCCCATTAAGCATTTCTTAAGCAAATTGTTATCAAAAAGGCTTCAAGTGAGTTTATTAATGTCACTCCCCAGCTGCCTTAATGTGTGAACACTGTGTATGCTTGTGAAGAGTGATGGACTCTGTTAACAGTCTGTATTCACTCCATTATCCATTTCACATACGTTTTGTTAACAGAAGTACAAACTAATCAAACAAGTCATAGAAAATAACTATTAATAAATTAACAGTGCAGAAAATTCAATATCCATTCATCCATTTTATAAAGGAGGTTTCATTTAATTCCAAGATATAATCTTTGTAAAGTCTTGTAAAGTCTAATATTCAAAGCACAGGGCTCTGAACTAAATATCGTCAAGAGAATTCTTGCCACAGATATTGTAGTACTTAGTTATGTTTGGCCTCATTGTGAGTACTTCATTTTAAGTGACTACTCTCTAAGAGTTATTTATACTGTATAGCTGTTGACACGAACCAAGCATTCTGACTGCCATCCTAGAAATAGCGCCAAATAAAAAAATAAAAAAATACAGTAGTTCTTCCAATGTTAAGGACACTTTTATATTACATTATGCATACAATGTGTTTCTTGTCTGTAAACACATGGATGGAATTGATTTCCACATGTTTCAAATAATGATTGTTTTGTTGATAAAGATTTATCAATAGCGTCACTTTTCTGTAATGGGATTGATGATTCACAAAGGAAACCAGCTGTAAAAGGGTGAGGCCACTGTTCCAGTTATGGGCCTTTGAACCCTTTTTTTATTATTCAGTAACTCAAAGGAAGTAGAATTTAACTTAGTTTGAAGAGAAAGCTGACAGTAACGATGTCTATACAGGTTACTGAGTTTTTAATTACAAGTAGCCTCACTTAAAAGTGGTACAGTTTATAATATAAAGGCAGTACAGTATATAGTACAGACTATAAAGTAAAGCCAGGCTCAAACTGGTTGTTTTTAAAGGATTTAGATTTAAGTGTTACCTGTTAAGTGCTGACTACAAACAAACAAAAAATTCAAGTGCATGGATTTTTTTGGTTTCCTTGTTTAACTGTCAGCTGCCCCTTCTCTCTGCAGACTTGTCTCTCTCTCTATTGTGGTCCTGATTGGAAAGCAACAATCCCATCCATATTTTACATCTTACTGCAAATATCAAAGTATTCAAAATCGTCTTTTCAGCCCTTATGAGTTTGATAGCAGCCCAGAATGATTGAGAATAGCTTGGTTAACCCTTCAAACGTCTAGTTGAGTCAAAAATCAATACTGAATGAGGTCCATTTTTTTCCCCTCAAATTGTCATGAGGGTTTACTCAGGCGTTAATCCAAGACTCTATGATTTTGGCCTAAATCCCGAACTCTGCCCATCGTTCCAAATGATCCACCAAGATTTAAATTATTTTATATTAACTGCTTTGACAACATCCTCTAATTACATAATTTAATAGATACAACTACTAAAATGTGTAATGACAGAAATTTGTGTAAGAATGTTAAATTGACTAATGTGACAGTTTTTATACATAAAAAATGTGAAAATGAGGTGATGATCATCAAGAAAGGAAAGGGGTTTCAGCACTATTCCATTACTGTTCATTAGGGTCTTCTCGCACTGCCACAGAAAAATCTCATTAAAATGCAAAAGCATAAAGCAGACAAGCCAGGTTACCTGTGTGTGTGTGTGTGTGTGTGTGTGTGTGTGTGTGTGTGTGTGTGTGTGTGTGTGTGTGTGTGTGTGTGTGTCATCTGTTTCTTTGGTCACCCTTGTTTACTCAAATGATTTGAAGGCATTTACAGTTACCTAATCTAGACTTTTTTAAACATTTACATTCAAATGTACAGCATGCTATGTAAATTCAGATAACTTGAGGGGTATAAGACTGAAAATAATTTGTAATTTCAATAACTCTAGTCTGAAATCCTACAGTCTAAAGTATGCGTTTAGCCTCATGTTTGCAACAGCGACCCTGAATCTGAATAAGCCACAGGCAATAAATGAATACATTACCACAGCGCTCACAACTACAGCGTCTTTCCTAAAAAAAAAAAAACACAACACTGTAACTTGTCTGCAGGCTCTGTCAGCTGACATTGTTTGGAGTACAGTAGATCTACACCTTCTGTGGATGCATTATGCATATTGTGCCCAGATATAGCATATCCCCTCACACATACACACAAACATCTTATGACTCAGCATCCTCGGGCCTCCTGTGGCTACAACAAGACCCACTTTTTCATCTCGATCGTTTCTTCTGAGCAGAGCGAGGCTGACTCAAATGTCACATCTGAGATATGTGACAGGGCAAATCTGTAATGAGTTTGTGACTCCTCACCTCCAAGGTTCATCCCGGCCTGGAGACACTTCCGTACGCGGCACGCCGGACAGTTTTTCCTGCGGATCTTGTCGATGATGCAGTCGTTTCTTCCGGCACACAGGTAGTTGTGCTGACCTAAAGAAAGACAAGTTACAGAGTCAGTATGATAGTTAACCATATATGTGCAGTTTGGCGTAAAACAGAACAATTTACACAAGGATGGAGCTTAGAGAAAAGGAAACTAAGCTTTTGCAATACAGAATACATTTTGTTCTCTCTTGCCAACAAGAAGAGAAGTAAATATTTGATTTAGCTGTAGAATATCTATCTCATTATCATGTAGGTCAACACAGGAAAAAAACATGAAATGTGTGACATCTACATTTCATGATCATCTCATGAACCCGATTGAAAAAGAGATTTTTCCGCTCTCACATTCTACAACACATAACTAATGGTGTATTTTACAGTATGTGGCATGGGGGTATTAATATTTGCCAGAACCAGGACACTGGCTGCAGCTCGACTATTCCTGACAGTGATGCTAACATGGCGAGAATCCCTCCTGCCTCCTGCCTAGCCCTTAGCTAAACCCAATGATCTCCCATTTCAGAGCGCTTCCTTCCGCTCCACTAATTCTTCACTGTACAGCTCCTCTCCTCCTCCTCCTCCACTCTCTCTCCGTCTTCTCTACGCTTGTGTCTCCATCCCTCCTTTTTCCCTTTTTCCACACGTCCGCCAGCCTCAGAGCGCCATACGCCCACACACAGGCGCACACGTACAGTCATTTACGCTCTCTCTCTCTCTCTCTCTCACACACACACACACACACACACACACACAAACACACACACACATACACAAATTCACACACACTCTCACATAGCCAAGGCTGCTCCACTTGGCTATTTGAAAAAAAAAAACTGCAAATCTTGTATCTGCTTCACAAATTAATACACATGCATGAAACTTACCACACAACCCAGATGGAGTGGTATAGAGCGGTTAACTGACCCCAGTGACCTCAGCACATGGCTTGGCTCCATAAAACTGTGCTTTCATATCTGACTGTATATATGGTTGTATGCATGTACATGTTTGCAGTTTCCTGCATCTTGTATCGTTTACTTTAGAGTTTTCTGGCTCACGCTTCAGCATGAAAAGCCTGTGCCTTGTTTACATGCCGTGTGCTCAAACATGTACATTCTGTGCATTGCCTTTGTTGCATCCTCAGTACATTATTTGTGTTTGTGTGTAGGACTGAGCAGAAGTTGTTTTCCGAGTGAGCAGGACTTGAGCGCAGTGTGTCTGTCTGGCTGCTGCCAAAAGCCAAGGAACCGAGCTGCAGGAGGAGAGGCAGCAGCTGTAGCCCCACCACTATTTCTGGCTAAATCACATGACCGTTACATAAGCCCATTTTTCTTGCTCTAAAAAACAGTAAACTGCGACACAGGAAACACAACGCAGCCGTCCCCCATCCCCAACCCCCCCTTGTTCATGCATACACACTTGAATATACACGCATACACACTCTCACTTGGATAGGCTGGACCAAATGGCAATTTTGCAAACTCTGGAGCCTTCATGTCAAATGCTTTGCTCATTCCTGTGAATCTTGTTAACAATTGTTGGAGTGAAATACACTTCATGAGACAGGCAAAGTCGCGAAATGATCGTGCGTGTGTGTGGGTTTTTTGGTGTGTTCATGAGAGATTTTTTTTTTATCCATGCACATTTTGTGCATACACTCACATGCCCTTGCACAGCATGTGTACCTCTGCATATGTGCATTTGCTTATCATCCCTTCATGTTGCAGGCTGGTGCTTGTTCACTGGTGATTATACTAAAATCCACATCTTCTGCTTTAATAGCAGACATGTACAGTTACTCCAAATCCAAGACATTTTCATTAAAAAACTAAAGATAAGTAGATATAGATTGCTCAGATGCTTTATTAAATTTGACATCATTCTCAAAACACCCATCTTTTGGTACAATGAACACTCTGTCAGCATTGTTCATTTAATGGAGTCCACTCAAGTCTACTTTTAGCAAATGATCTCACAATCTGGAAACAACCCTCATAGTAGTCTCTGTGGTCTGTCAGCTTCAGCATACAAATGTATGAGGACTTTCTTTTGAGAAGGAAACACTGTTTCCTCTTGGTCACTCACCTTAGCAAGAGCTATCTGCCCTGCAGTGCAATGCTACTGCCACCTGCACAGCTACTCTACATCTGATCTTCCAGCCAAAAAAAAATGTTAAAAATGCTGCCTTCGACCTCACAGTTTTAAATAGCCAGCAGACACACGTGGTAATACCCTCGATTGTGGAAAAAAGAAGCCACTTAGATATAGTATTTGAGCCATATCAATAATACTACTATGAGTCCACCGTAAGTGGAATTCAGATGGGCTTCAGGTTTCTTGTCTTTGGAAGCTGATACTGCAAACACAAGATGATGTATGACCAAAAAGCATTCTCAGGGGCTTTGAAAAATAGTGCAAAAAATGCAGGTCCTAAAATAGCCACTAGAGGCTCTTTCCAAAAGCGAGTAAATTCTGATAGGCCCAAACATTTAAATGCCAAACTTTACAGATAGAGTAATCTTGCTACAGGATTTGCTAAAAAAAAAAAAAATCATTTCAGTCCCACAGATTATTGTAATTTAATAATCCTCTCACAAAGCATTCAGTCAATTATGCTGTGGTGTTTAGGAAAACCTTAATTACAGAGCCGCAAAAATACCAAAAACCAAAAAACAGGCTTCCCAGAGACATAATTTTTTGTTACCACAGAACCAATGGTATGCAAATCACTGCCTTGCAATAGTTCTGCTGCTTCAGTTTTTTGGACGACACACAAACAGCTTTGCTGGATGGGGCTCTACACAATTAAGTTTTCCTGTCTGGATTGTTGTAAAGAGGGTGCAGAAGTTGCAGTAAAGATGCTTTTTTTGTTTACTTATGGTAAGACATCTATAATACTATATCACAAACTATTTTCCTGTGCATTTCCTTCAAACAGAAATGTTCCTATTACATACCTATTACCTATTGCTTTTGTACATTATGAATTTAATAATTACCGGTATTTAGGCAACAATATGGAGTCTGGAGGTGTCATTTTCAGAATCAGACAGTTCTCTTATAATACATTATACATTTATTCTAGCAGTAGGCACTTCACCGATTATTTGTCAAGACATTCACATATTAGTTGGTACAAATTAGAAACTTAGAGTCTAACATTTTTTATTTCTTTCAAATCAAACAAATAAAAGAGGGTTAGCTGCTAACTGTCTTTCAAACTATCTTACAACATCAGAGCTGTTTTAAATTCATTTCCATTCTTTTTCTGCTACTGTTTTATATGTGTGAATAGGTGTATTTTAATTTCCAATAAAAAAACAATAAAAAAAACAGTATGTAGTGAAATGATCAATAATGGCATAGGAAAATAATGCACACCAGTTTGTATTGTGTGTGTAATAAACAAATCACCAGTGAACACACACAGATAAACCCCATCAGATTGTAGCGGCTTATTTGGTTGAACACAACAGGTGTAACTCTCTGGCTGCGCTGAATCCTTTTTGCATTAATGTCAAAGAACAAAGGTATCACTGGAAGCAGGAAAAGATGGAGGTCAGATTATATCCTCTGCAGAGCAAGCAGGCCTGCAAGTCAGCCTGGGTCTGGGGAAATATGAGGGCAGGAGGAAGAAGTCTGTGCATACATGAGTGAGTTATATCATCATACATGCACAAAGCATACAACGCACCTGCTAATGTAATACAGAAAAATGCAAAAAAAAAAAATAGGCAATCCAGAGTAAATTTTAACAGCAACTTAGTGAATAAAGTATCTGAAAAACAAAAATGCTGTATGTCTGTTTTTTTTTGGCTTTTTTTTGGCTTTTTATGCCTTTATTGTAGAGACAGAGCAGTGGGTAGAGTTGGAAATCAGGGACAAGAGAGAGTGGGGAATTACATGTGGGAAAGGAGCCACAGGTCGGATTCGAACCTGGGTCACCCGCATGGAGGACTAAAGCCTCTCTGTCCATGGGGTGCGCACACTAATCACTAGGCTACCTGCCCCCCAGTATGTCTGTGTTTAATACATTTTTTAATTAAATTGACAACACAAGCAGATTCAATATGCCAAATTAGCTTCTGAAAGAGTGTAAGGGATATTTATTTTTGCATGTATTTTAAAGGCTAAGAATATAAAAATGGCCTGTTTGTGTTAAAGTAACATCACCATTAGTTGCAGCTCTGATATATTGTAGCCCATGTGTTTATTTATTAAGTTGTAAATAAAACACACAGACTGTAAAATTAAATGTATCTAGGTTGCATTAGAGACCCTCCTCAGGCTGCAACCTAACTGCATTAGCAATGTAGGTCACACATATACACTACTTACAGTAAGCTGTACAGATTAAAGTTCTACCTGAAGTTGTACACCTTACGAACCCTTCTACTTATGAAGAAAAGTACACGTGCACGTTTGCATGCTAAGTGTGTCCCTGTAAACATATTTGCATGTAGTTTTAGATCAGAGAAGCTGTGTGTTTGAAGATGTGTTTGGGATCTAGGATCAGAGCAACACCGCCTGCTAAATGGCTTCACTCCAACCGTTGTTACATGAGCTGCACACACACACACATGCATGCACGGCACACACACACACATACATACACAGACACACACAACCTGCAGCATTCGCTGTGGAAGGAGGCCTTTATTCCCTCAGCCCGGGCTGAAAAGACATGATTGGACGGCTGAACTGCCAGTCAGAGCAGAAACTCTGCAAGCTGTGTCCTTAGATGAACTCTCCCACAGAGGCGGTACCAAAGAATAGGTTCTTAGATTGACACCAGCGCCATGGAAACCACGACCCAGTAACATTGCAGAACACAGTGAGGCCATAACAAGGCTGACGTGCACCTCTGAAAACCTCCCAGTTCAATAAGAGAACAGGAAAAACAACAAGCAAGCTAAAAGTAGGGCCTAGTATTATTACAAAGACCAGACATGCCAAGCCACTGATGACATGTGCATAATAAGGGCTGCCTTCAAGTCTTCAAATGTGCTCCACATGCAGCCGATTATTAGGTGCAGCTGGCTTATATCAACAAACTGCTCTTAAGTGGAGTGAATGCAGATGCAGGAGAGAAGCACATATGAATGTGTTCAGCTATTTCCACATTTCATTAGTGATGTAACTCATATTAACAAACTGTTGTTTTGTGTCAGAAGGCATTTTTCCCATACAGTTTGGCATTGTTTATACTGAAGAATTCCTTCATTTCAATAGAGCCTGAAAACTGGCTGCGAAGTTTGCATGAGAAAGTTGCATCAACAGAAGCAAAACAGCTGCAAAACTAGTTCGCTTCATCAAAGTTCAAAGCCCTTTCTAAATAGTGCGAGTGAAAAATAAACTTGAAGACTTCTTGGGATTTGAATGGATGATTATTTTATGAAATAAGCGTGTGAACGCTTAAAGAATGAATTGAGGCCGGCATGTTGAAGCTCACAGCCAAGCGCACATCGTGCATAATGAAGTACTTCTATACGCTTCCAGGGACCATGGTTATACACTTCATCATGTACAGTTGCCGCTGCCTTCTGGTGGATAAGACAGAAATTAAGCTGAGTGAATATATGTCCTCTTGAGGTGGACTGTAAGAGGCCCTTGTGGCCACTGGATATTCCAAACAGATGGTCCAAATGTAAACCCAAAACACAGACTTCAAAGAATAACTTGGCCAAGCCGCAGTGATGAAAGAAAAAAAAGCTACCAAACAACACCTTGTGTGACTCGTATAAAGGGGAAAGACGACCCTCCACAGTGTAAAATGATTTGTTGATGACTCCAGAATGCTAACTAGCTCTGTATTAAAGGGCTGAGAGTCAGTTAGTCGTCTAATGAGCTACAGACGACCAAAAAAAGTTATGTCCCCCAGAGGCAAGCCGTGCCAAAAGAAATTAAGCACAGGCTGGATTATTCCCCTCACACTGATGCCCACTCTCTGCAGTCTTCTTTTTATATCTTACACGCCTAGCCTAAGCTTTTAACTCTGAGAGGAAAGAGGAGGAGAAGGAGGAGGAAATACTGGGATTGGGGAGGAGTGAAACGTCTCCTCACGTCCTAGCTTACACCTCTCTGGCGCTGGCTGCTGACACATCGCTTTCCACCCTTCTCCCTGATTCTTCCTCTCTCTCAGCTCCTCCTCTCTTTATCTCTCTGTCTGCGTCTGACTTTTTCTTTGTCCTTCCTCTCCCCACCTCTCTCCCCCCCCCCCCCCCGCCCTGGATGTATCTGTTTCACTGTCCTCTATCGCTCTTCACTTTGCAAAATTCTTCTCTCCGTTTTTTCATCCTTTGCCTACCTCTACCTTATTACTCTCTCTTTCTCGTTCCACCTCAGCAGCAGCTGTGGAGGGGTCAAGTAAGGTAACAGCTATCTTTGCACTTCACAAGGGCGTACGCACAACCTTGATGACATCACAGGCCTGTGTGGGCGGCCCTTATTACGCTAAGCGAGTTTGCACAGTTGCAGCCGTTCTGCGGGGCAGAATAAAGGGGAAATCAGAAGCTGAGAGAGGCTTGTGAAGAGATTGCTGCATTCAATTTAAAGGGAATCACACAATCAATGAGTCGCTTTCAGAATAATTATGTTCAACACGAGAGACAAATAGGGGTTAAGGAGTTTAATCAAAGAGCCCATCTAGATCTGAACTCTTCAAAGCCTAACCTGACCAGCCCACTCACACAAAGTCAGATTATAAGGATCTGCTAAAGGCTCTCTGTGGGCCTAGCTTGAAGCAAGAACAAGCCATGCCTGATTCGATAACCCCAGACACATAATCTGGTTTCAGGTCTCCGTAATGACGCTGCCTAAATATCATCAAATTAAGGCATGATTTGATTGGGAACGAGCGCAATTCCTCCAATGGTCAGGAAAACACCTAGAGGGCCTGATGGCTGGCAGTTAGACGTGTTTGCTTTCCCCCCCCCCCTGCTCCTCGATCTGTGAGCGGCTGTTTTGCATTCAGACACTCATCTTAATGAGTTAGGCCAACGCCTCAGGCAACAGGCACAAAATGAAAAGGACATTATGGCTGCTGCTGATTTTCCCCTAGCTAAATATAACATAAAGGGCCTGCTGCAGGAGAATTACCCACTCAGTGTTTTCATTTCATTCAATGTGCCACTCAAGTCTATAAATATAATATACCAAATGTTTTGAGTCATTTAAATCTTTTTTACATAATATTGTGCAAAGTCCACAGAGATTCAACACAGGTTTGTTTGTTAAAACAGTTAAGTGCAAATAAACTAAGATATTAGTTAATCATTCTTAGAAGAAATACAGCTTTATATGGAGTGAACAAAATACTTTGCACCATGTTTCTGACCTTTGAGATCTACAACGTCTAAAAAGTTCTAACAGGAAATAAGTGATAATCTGGAAATGTGTGAAGAAGGACTGACGGCAAAGATTTTCTCACTTCTCGGTGTGAAAGATGTAAGCACCACAAATTGAAATTTTCTTGAGGTAACTTCATCCCGACTAACTATTGTCAGTATATTGAACAAAACATCTGCCAATAATTTTGCAAGCCAAGACTGTCACTGATATTGTTTGAAAATAACATAATATTCACTGCAACAATTTTTGGCTCACTGACTGTGATTGAAATACACTGAATAACAGAATAAATCTGGCACAGCAGCTTATTCCTCTTACAGTTACCCAAATATTAGCTTTAGACTTAAGAGTTTAAACCACTTATGTCACTCTTCTCAAAGCAATAACAGTAAGACATGGATTTTCCTTCTTTTTTTTTTTTTTTTTTTAAATCCCTAAGCGTGAGAAAAGTACAATAGCCATTAGCGCTCGGCAGACTTCAACCAAAAACATCCTAACCTCTTAGTTTGCATTTTTAAACAGCTTGCAAATAAAACTCAACCACTTTAAGTGACACATTCACCACATAGAGAAATGTGTTTGAAATATAGAAAATACAAACAGATGCAGACTGACTGTATTTTCAAAAGAATATAAATTCACTTTGAGCAATTAAATCAATTCACTTCAATCCAAAGGGGTAAGTTCTATCATTTTGGGGCAAACAGAAACCTTTTAGATGTTCTTGTTGTTGAGCACTAGCTGCTGTAGTCCTTCCCCCCCAGTGTTGTCTTTATTGAATATGAGTTACTGCGGTACCTTCCACTGCTCTTTTGAAGAAGACTTTGCAGCTCCCACACGTCACCACACCGTAGTGGCACCCTGACGCCTCGTCTCCACAGACCAGACACACTTTGGCCGTTGAGGAAGGTTGCCTCAGCGGCGAGCTGAAAGACACAAACACACGTTTTCAGACAGGTGATATCAATCAACAAGAATTATTAAAAGAGCTAACATCAAAATAAAAACCAAGACTATCTCCTTCCTGGTGCAAACTGTGAACCATTCTGGATTTTTACAACCAGCAGTACAGTAGCAAAGCAATGAAGCTGGCCATAAATATGTCTGCCAGCCAAGAGCAGGGGGGCTTTGCACTTTGCGATGATTTATAGCATCACATGGCTTACAGAGATGACAGTGACAGATTTATAGAGGAGATTATTCAAATTCAATAAGCGGAGAGACACAGAGCAGGATGTCAAATTTAAGTCGGATCCAAAACACTTGTCCCCCTTTCTGGCATAAAAAGGGAGGCACAGGAAAAGAATTGAATTTAATCCCTAATCGAGCCAAAAGTTTGTTGTGTGATAGTGTAAACTGTGATCCCAGTCAAATGTCAAAGTTGAGGATTAATATTTGCTTGAATATCTGTACTTTAAGTAGCATGCCATGTTGTTGTCATTTACCCTGCAGCCACAGCTAACAGGAAAAACAACTGATTCTAATTGAATTGATGACAGTCTGGTGCAGCTCTACCTGGGCATCGTTTACTTTGGCATCACACACTGCTCTCACTACTGACTGATGCACTATAATTACATGACCATTAAAGCTCAGGATGTGCAACCTGATCTCACTGATGCATAGCTAAATGTGTCAATAAGTTAACAGTTACACTCAGCGCCAAATGTAGTGAATTATAGCCGTCAAGCAGTTAATCTGCCATCAGGTGCAAAATAGGCAGCTAAAAGCAGGTTGCACCTGAGGCTGAACAATGTCCCCTTCAAGTTGTTTAAAGGTGAATTCATTGTATTTGAATCATTGCTTTTCTTCTTAGGCTTAAGTAAACGTTCTTTTGCTTTGTTTGTCCTGTTTGTACTGGGCCTACTGTATTTAAACAGGCCTACTGCCTTAGATGTCGGGGTTGTGGTTTGCTGATTAAATTCCTACTTAAAAGTCACTTACCATGGCAGATTAATAAAGTCAAAAATTGGGTTAATTTTGTCCCAAAAGATCGACAAGGCAACGTGAGTGTCAGTGTATCAGTTTGACAGATACATGTGTGCACCAATGTTATCAGACTATATAGAGCACCTTTATAATGTGCACAAAGGGAATTCCAGAAATTCTAAAGACATAACTGACACAATTTAGAAACACTGTCACCCCTACATAGTTTGGGTATTTTTTAACTCAGTCACAATGGTTTATTACCAAATTTAAATGTTCCCGATCAAAAAATGTTTCTCACCTCTGCAAGAAGGTTTTTCAAAATTCAATATAATGGAGCTCTGGTTAGTATCTGTAGTATGCATATTTTATGCCAACCTATAAATTCAGCTGTTTAAGTCTTAATGCATTGGATATAAATGCTTAATCTGTTTCTAAAACTAAGCTCTGATAAATGCAGATGATGCAGATTAGTGATGGATGGGGGGTGACAGGTGGATTTGAGAACAGAACAGGCGGGCTGATAGCCTTTTAAGAATCATAGAAATTATTAAAAATATAACATCTTCCAACTATACTAAAACATTATTTCAGTTATTAATTTAGCAGAAATATGAGGCATTTTCTGTCTCCAAACTCTTAAATATAAGATTTGGCTACTATATCTCAGTCATTAATCATAAAAAAAAATTTGACATCTGAAAAGTGTTTTTTTTTTTGTCTTCATTTTTGGATATATTTTTAAATGTTTTTTTTTGCTCATAAGACAAAATCCTTTTTTGAGGAAAAAAAAATCTGCATATTATTTGATAATACGGTTTGTTCACAGCCCTGAATGGAATGGTTTTGTTGTTGCTCTTAGGATATACAGTTTAATTTATTTTATACATAACAGGAACACACACACAAATACACACAAAATCAACCCAAATATGTAGATGGGTACAAAGACAGAACACTTTGTATCAAAACATTGAAAGTGGCCTCAGCTTCCCCTTCTTTTCTGTGCTAATTACCTCCCTCCCATCTCAATCAATAACATGCAAGGTGATTGTCTGGTTAACATTCTCCTTACATCCTTCATCAAACCAGCTGCCAGGCTCTCTTTCTCTCCTCTTCCGTCCCTCTCCCTCTCTCTCTCATGCACACACATTTCCTCCAGGGGGACTTGCTGGAAAGGGGTACAGCAACAGCACACTCAGATACAATCAGGACCACTGATCTAATTCCCTCTTGTCCATCTACACACACATTCAATTTGTTAGGACGCTTAGAGGAGTCTCTGGTGAGGTGTTTGTCTGACTGGATCTTTCTGGCGTCGGGCCGTGGTTTCAGCTAATGTGAGTGTGTGTATATGTGTGCAAATCTAATCCATGTCAAGGTTTGTTTTCCACCGACTATTCCACAACATCTTCTTTTTCACACCATGACTAAACAATATACAGTGTGTATATATATATATATATATATATATATTTAAAGTATATAGCACTAAATCATGACAAAAGTTATCCAAAGACTCTGCAGAAACAGTAGGATAGACCATATTATTCATTATTTCAAGAGACCTAATGTTATTTTTCAACTGAGCAAGCATTTGGAAACAGTGGCAAAGAAGAATTTTATCTGAACAGGCAGAACCTCGAGTTGAACCAGACTCATTGATAAACAGCCATCTGCCAGAACAGGATTGGCCGAGCAAGTGGGAAAAGGGAGAGATAGAAAGAGAGAGATTTACAGAGACAGACAGAGAGACAGAGAAACATGGAGACAGATAGACTGGGAGACAGATGTACAGGGAGGAGGTCAGACAGTCAGAGAGACAGACAGACAGGAAGACAAATAGACAGGCAGACTGACACAAAGCTAGACATACAGACACAGTGAACACACTGGGAGACAGGAACGCACGCACGCACGCACGCACGCACGCACACACACACACACACACACAGGGAGTCTGACTTGGAGAAAGACAGACACACAGACTGGATGACAAGAAGTCAAACAGGGAGGAAGACAGAATGAAAAGGAGACACAAAGACAGACAGACAGACAGGGAGGACCAAAGGCTAACAGGGACACAGATGAGATTACATGAGATGTACACCGCAACAAAATTAACAACAGATTAACAGACTAATGGTATCAATACCAACACAAATAATTGTGTTGTTAATGTTACGAACTTTAACAATACCAACTATGGTAATGATAATCAAAGCTGATATAAGAAATTGTTGTAGTGTGAACAAGAAGACAATCCACACCAAAAAAGACAAACTGTCTGGCCAAAAGCACACCAGCAGCACATGAGAAGTCCCTCTAAAGTACGATTTTAACATCTACTCAGCGTTCAACCCTTTCAATATCACCCCACATTAAAACCTTGTCGCTGCCTGCCAGCCTGCCATGCCCGCCCGCTCGTCCACCAACAAGGTGACTTCCCCTCCCTCAGAGAACTATATAGGTCATTCTCTCTCTCTCTCTCTCTCTCTCTCTCTCTCTGCTTATGAAACCAGAGCAGACAGGCCAGGCTGCAGTGACTGTGCATCCAACTCTGCCAGTAGCCCCGAAACTAAACACATGAGCCACCAGACATTCCCAACATGAGTCTGTTTCTGCAGAGAAGCTAACCCTGTGTTTGTCAGCTTTCAGTACGTGCAGAGATCATTACTGACATAAGTACGCATGAGATGAGAGAATAAAGGGATGACCTGCACCAAAGGTCTTCAAGATTGGTGCGTTGTGGTCAAATGGTGAGCGTCCTTCTAACCACCAGGCCGTGCGGACTAGCCAAATAAATCTCCTTCTTGTTTAGCTTGTCAAGTTCTGAGTTACAAGTTCTGTCTGTTACAACAAAAGCTATAATTATTTTTTACCACTGGAAGTCATAAACGTGTAAAGACTGGCAGTTCAAGCAGAACTTTTTTTTTTAACCCTTCATCTAAAGTTGTAAAGCTAAAGTGCAGAAGAAGCAGATTTCCAACGAGAATGTTAGCGTTTTCAGTTTTGGATGCTGCAAACAATCTGACACAGGCATTTTTTCGATTCAACATTTTAGATTTTGTGTTGAAAAAAATTCTAAATGCCTGAAACAATACCTCCAAAAATGTGTGCAGGTTAGTTCTGTGTTCCGGGCTTGTAACTTTCTTTTCATTGACCCCATATGTTCTCTATTTCTGGGTACAGTCTCGGACTTACTCAATGGGACTGTGCATGGATCAAAGGTCTTGTTCTTTGCTCTAGTTGTTGCTTTCTTTCTCTTCCTATGAAACCCCAGGACAGCACTTTCATTATTTTCAGTGTCCTTTCTTCTTTAAAGATAACACACAAAGCTAACTACTGATTTAGTTGCTGTTTATTTCCCATGAGGATACAGATGAGTCAAGTACACAACATCTGTTTCTTCCCACCGCATAGAAATTAGTTTCTTTTGCTGCTCAGGAAAATTATTTAAAAAAAAATCACACAAAAAAAGAGCAATCCAAGAATACATCCAGAAGAAGCGATCTGTGCCCACCAAAATGTGAGGAAGCTAGACCGCAGGACAGATGTTTGGGCTCAAACTAGCCTGACGCTTTTCTACTATTAATTTCGGCTGTCATACTGGGAGCATTCTCCAAACGATTCAAATATCTCGGCCCTCAGCTGTGGAGGGAATGTTAAATCAGCGAGAGCAAAGCCCAGAGAAGACGGGCTAAAGGTTTATCAGAATCTGGGAAGAGTTAAGTTTGTTTGTTTCACACACAATTACAACACATGTAATGAGAACACTCTACTGCATGGTGTCGCCTTATGGCAACTAATTGCCAATTACTTTATCTCAATTTTACTGAAGGCAGTCAAATTAAATCCATGTTTTACTGTTTAGTTGTGAAAAGGAGGGTTACTTTCAAAGACAAAAAATCTCTGACATCAGATGACCAGGAAATCTTGTTTGCGCCTCCTTTTCCCATGGACTTGTGACACCCAACAGTTCATGCTCTGGGGTGTC